GTGCTTACACTTATCTTCTACCTCGCAATGCTTTCTGCTTGCATTTCCTCCTTGCCCTTATCTGCTCAGCACTGCAGCAGGAACTAATGGGTTACCCATCCAGCTCTTTGTAGGATTCTTGTGGGGTGCTGGGCCTCCCATCATGTCTGACTCTGGCTGCTGATTTCTTGGCCAATTCCTTTAGTTTTTTTTCCAGGTAGCACTGATGTCCCGTGCACTGTACTTGGATGGGTACACTCAGCGGTGATTGGGTGGGACTGTACCAACAGCCTGTCATGCAGCTGTGTTACCCACCTCATGGTGGGACTGACAGGGTTACTCTGATTAAAAATGCTGAGTTTGGTGTCTGGCTGGCTGGTTTGCTGTCTTCTGCCAGATATACTCAGAAAAGGAAAAGAGAGGTTCATCGACTTCTTTCACATTATTTGGTGCCTGGTTTTGTAGAGTTTGGCTGACAAGCTGAGAAATTAATAACCCTAGAATACAGAGCTGAGGTCAAATGAAGAATTCTTCTCAGCTTCTGCTTGTCTACCCTCAGGCTAGTATTTCGCTCCTGCATAGCTCTATATCGTCTTAGCACCCCATATAGTCAGCACTTTTGTCCTGAATAAATCAAAGATCCATTCAGGTCCTCAACTGCTGGCAGTAAATGGTGACTTCCATTTATTGCCTGAGCAATTCTGAGTTTATCTAATTGCTTTCATACCAAGTCCATGGCAAGTACTAAGGCCCAATTTCCAGCTTTCACAGCAGTATGACAAAGCCTAGTTGAAATCTGCAGTTAGTAATTTTGCCAGTTGTATTCATGCTCAGATTTTATTATTAATCTTGCTTTCTGGACATCCATTTTTTTACATGTGGAGAGAAGGATCATAAGTGTGTGAGCACTCTTTCTCCTCCAGGCTGAGGATGCAGTGGGGTTGTACAGAGGTTAGGTCTAAGTTTCTCCAAAGCAAATGGCATGTGCATGTGTCAAGGTTTCTTCTTGACAGCCCACATTTGCCTGCTGGCTTCTGAATAGCTTTATTATGCATCACCCGTGTGTGACCACTTTTCCAGTCTCATGTTGCTGCTTTCAGTGTTGAGGGCTTACGTAGCAGCTGGCTTCATAGTCCGGCTGGATCTGAATTGGTGGTTGATCTAATAACACACATGCAAGCATGGCCCTTGAATTGCTGGCAGCCTTTGCCTGCAGCACGAGCGTACTGACAGTTTCTGCTAAAGTCACTGCTTTGCACTGGAAATCTCCACGTCCTAAATCACTGCATAAAGGGAGGTGTTTCTTTCTATTTCCTGTAGAGTGTAAGTCTTCACTGGGGTGTAAAGTGATTTTATATCCTCAGGCCCCTATACGATGACATTTATTTTCCTCTGTCTTTCATACTGCTTTTCACACTATATACTTCCATATAGTCAGCAGATATTAGCTAGACTATCCCTAAAAAAAAGTTACTGCCTATCTTGCTGGATATCCTTGGACAGAAGGGGGAATTAAAGTAATTTATCTCCTAAGAGAAAGAAACAGTTTATTTGTGGAACACAGAGGGGCAAGTGGAAGAGAAGACCGTAATATGCCATAAAATTAATATTTCCACCGAATCTGTTTCATAGTGTCCGGTAGAATTATGAGTATTATTATCCAAGTAAATATTGCTTCTTATATTTGTGTGTTTCTCACAACAACCCCTCCTCTAAACTGGAGTTGGGCATCCCATGCACGAATCCAGTCTTAGCATTTGTGCCAATGCCTCTCTGCAGGTTGCCAGGACTTTCCTCCAGATACCACTCAAACTACACATGTTCTAGGGTTTTTTTGAGATTTAATCCTTTTATAGAATATGTAAATAGTTTTGTGGGTTTCATGTCCTTTTTATTTTTCAGACAGACTAATGAGAAGTTATTGAATAAAGAATTATTTCAGTTCATAATTCATAACTTCATCAAAATTTTTCCACTAAAAAATTGCTGAGTTGAATGAATTAAACAATACAACAAGCAATACTAAAAAAAAAACATAGCACTGTAAATATTAGTAAGTAATACCAGAATGCTCAGATGTACTTTTTACATTTCTTGATGCTCAAACTCTTACATATTCCATAGCTCCCAACAGATGTAGTTGTTTATGGTAGAGATTTTGAGTGAGATATTTGTATTCTGTATTTAATCAGCTGGATTTTCTTTCAATATTAAAGCAGCCTTGCTTTAATCAGAAAGTATTTAATGTTTGATGTTTCTGTTTCTCCTAATAATTTTTTAAAATATAAAATAATTGTTTTCAACTTTGTTATGGCAAGCACTGCAAAATGCATTTCGGAGAGGAGGGCCCAGTTAATTCAGCAATGGATTCCATCTGTGTTGATGTTGGCTGCACAGACCAGCCCGCCCCAGCTGTATGAAGTAACTGGTGCTCCAGCAGGGTCGAATTCAGACAAGCACCATTTGTGTTTCATTTCCTTTTTTTCTTTCTTTCTGAATAACATTTTGTCTAAAAACAAGGATTTCCCCCCTCCTACTCCCAATCTTTATTGGAACTTTTATTTGTTTCTGGATAAAAGATTGCTTTGAAACCCCAGTGCTGTCAAGTCAAAATTGGAATGACTCTTGGGATGGGTATTTCCTGGGTGAGTTAGGTTTAATAATGATAGGAATTTCATATATTGTATATACACCTGGCTGGAAAAATAGTCTAAGGCTAGACCAAGGTATTAATATGTCTGTTTAATGAAAGGGGTGGTATGAATCAGCACTGCCCCAGGAACCATCCTTGTCCCCAGCTCACTTGAGCAAGGCTCTGCCCTCCTACATAAAGGGAGAAAATACAAACTCTTTGAAGGCAGTTCCCCGTATTGTGTCTAGCAGTTCAGGATACACAGAGCTGATGTCTGCAGGTGTGTAGGGTAAAATTAATAATTGCTGACAATTTTCCAAGAGTAGTATATTTTGTGTTCCTTACACCTGTTTCACAGCAGCAGCTATCCTTGAAAGATTCATTTATTTTAGGATATTGCGCAGATTTGCAATGTGAAGACTTTTGCAGCAGAATTCAGGAACACTACACTAAAAGTAATTTTTTTTCCATTATTTTGATTCTTTGAGAGATAATTCACCTGGTAAAACTGGTCTGTGAGGAAAACTCATTTGGTTCACATTGCAGATAACAGTATTTGTCGTCTTTTATCTGTAATTGAGTGTGACATATGAAGTTGGGTATATCATTTGATATAGAAGTAATATTGGTATAATTCTCAGTCTGACCAAGAATGTCTGTATTCAGTCGTGATTTGTTTCATTGTTCATGAGGAAGTTTCTAATTTTACTTAGTACACAAAGGGAAGTCAGTGCTGGATGATCTGAAGTGCAGGTTTAGACACTATCTCTTTGCCTTCCTGCACATTGGGAATACGCAAGCACTTGCCTGAAAGGTGGAATAACCTACTGGATATGAGTTTAACTACAGAGCACCCTAAAAGTGGGACTTGTCTTGCTGATGTTAAGAATTAGAGTCTTTCTTAGGTTCGTAATCAGTAATGAAATTTGGAGAGGTCTAGCTTTGAAATATGCAAAGATGAATTCAGCCCTGAAAGTGCCCACAGAATTAATTCCATTACAGCTAATGCCACGTTTTGATAAAGCTCAAGTTCCTCTTTGGTAACTTTAAGTCTATAGCAAAAGAGGAATATAGTCACTATGGCTTCATCTATATTATGTGGAAGAAGGCTCTATGCCTCTGCTGGACTGTTCAGCCCACCTGAATTGCAATCCAGAAGTATCTGTATCTGACTGTGAGCAAAGCCCTGGCTAGTTTCTTACTTCAGTATCTCTGCTCATTTTCTGACTTTAGACTGGATCAGTCCAATGCAACCAAACACCATTACATCTCTTTCATTACGAGAAAAAAAAAGAGAAAGATGTATTGCAAAAAATGTTATTGCAGAAATGAGACTTTGCTTATGAGTTTTATTTTTGGTAATTGCACAATAAACCACTTATGCTGGAAAAAGACTTCAGTATTTTCTGTAATATGAAAATATGGAACTAAAAACCTGTGGCAAATATGAATGAGTTCTATAAAATACAGTTGTTTTGGTACTTGTTAAGGAAATAGAACAGCAAAGTCATATGGAAGAAGTCACGGAGTACTGAATTTACTTTGTTACTATATCAACATACCGGCAGTCAGTCAGTTTTAAATTTAAAACAGGTTTATATTTAGAAAATAAACATTTTAGAATTTGACCTGGTATTTGAAATATTTATTTTATCATATAATAGTTTCTTGATTTTCCAAACTTTTCATTGGTTCTAGCTCAGTTTTCACTATGTAGAAATAGCATTTTTAAAATGAATGTCTATATTAAGAATTGATTTGCTATTGAAAGCCAAAACGATCATAAAAATATGGTCTAAATTATCTGTCCTTGATCTCTGCCAGCCCAGGCTATTTAACTTTAATAAAGTGTCCAACCAAACTGTTATTTGCTGCTGTAATATAAATAATTTCAGGTGTAAAATACTTATAAGTAAGCCTTAACATTGTAAAATGCTCTATGCACAGAAATCTTTTTCCTACATAGACCCTTTAGATTTCTAGTTCTTCAACAGAGAACTATCTCTTTTTAACAATTTGACAATAATACTAAATTTTAAAATGTATCATTACAGTATGAAGCCTAAATAAGGCACTTTGTGGCTTCAAATCTCTTCCTTTACTTATTTAATTATAACAACGTATGAGGAAATTGAGGTTTAGGCTTCTTTCCCTTCTAAAAGATGTTACCCTGCAAAACACACTTTATCCAAAGGATGTCTGATTCACCCCTTGAGAGTTTTGCCTTCAGAGATAGCAAAAGAAACAATCACAAGAGCAACCATTGGGTTTGTAACGCTGGTAATATTAGCATTTATCATGAACAGATGTTCTGACCACGTTTAATTTAATAGTTTGTTGGTCTGTAATCACTTTTTCTTTTCTTTTTTTTTTTTTTTTCTTCATTTAGCCACCAGATAATGGGCCTCCACCATTACCAACATCTTCCCTTCCTGAAGGCTATTACGAAGAGGCAGTGCCACTTAGTCCTGGGAAGGCTCCTGAGTACATCACTTCCAGTGAGTAATATATTTCCAGATTCCAGTTTCTGAGCAATTGCTAATTCCAGTGTCCTTAAACCTTTATAGTTCTCAACAGCCACATCTCTATTAGTGCTGTGGTGATGTGTCACAAGCATGGCTTTGACCATTTGGGGATGGTTCTGGTTATCGGCCCTGGCCATGCATTGGTTTGGTTTGCAGAACTGGTTTGGTGTGGACAAACCAGGCTCCTTTAGAGGAAGCTAAACCTGGAACTCAAGTTAGGTGCACGTAAACATGTTTCAGTTGCTCTTGGAGACAAAGGGTCCAAATCCATAGCTTTGAACCATGAATGTGGTGGGGGCATTGGATCAGGAGTCCAGAGTTAAGCATCATCCAGAGTAAACACCTCTGAGCTGGCGATATTGTAAATGTAGAGGTCTCAGAAACTGGTGTTGATCTGCAGATCTACTCATATGCCTTTATTGTACTGAAATCTTTGCTAAAGTAGACAAATAATAAGAAAAAAGGAATTATCAAAAACATGTCATATGCAGCATTTCTGATAGCAAATTGTGGCAAGGGATAAATCAGTCATACTGATTCTCACAAGCCATGTTTGATGCATATGGCAGTATTTTTGTGACTACTTATTTAGTGTAAAAGGCAGAGGCTACCTCCTAACTGACCACCAGAATGTCCTTCTGCAACATGTTCAGTACTTATCCAAAAACCTTATTCAAAGTGGAGCTATACTGAGAGCATGCCGATGGAACGCTGAAATGACTGCTGTGAGCATTTATGCAGGGTCAATCAACAGGACATTATGTACCAAAACATTGCAAAGATTTTTCTTTTTGCTGTTTTTCTCTTGGCTGGAGTAATTTATTACTCATGTATGGCTGATCTATCATTAATCATTATTTTCTGTGGCCCAGAGATTAAAGGCGTATCTTCGCCCATTTTATGGCAACTTTTATTATTTGAACAAGTGAATAAAATATCTCTGTTCTTAAAACATGCATAGGAGTCACGTTAGAACATTAATTATCCATTTGTACTCTTCACAAACTGAGATTATCTGGCAGCTCTTAATTTACCTAACAAATTCAAGGTAAGAAGGAGTTTCATATACTGTTATGAAGGAACATTAGCAGAGCAGCAAAATTACTCCTCTCTTCATTTCCTCCCTTGAATGCTGCAGGGTGGTCCTACTACACCCTATAATCCAGTGAACTTCTGATTTGTGTTTTGTCATTAAACAAGAGCCATGCTCAGGCATAAAAAAGTTAATAGTACAAATATTAATAGCGCTGCTAAAGGATCACCTAAGGAGAAGAAAAAAAGATGAAATATGTAACTGATTTATTGTACTTAGCCATCCAAATCCATAAAATATTTAAGATATCAGTCTTAAAAGTTCATTCATAATTCCATAATTTAAGCATATATATACAGACATTAAAAGTTCTGCTATTGTAGCTCACTACTGATTTCACTAACTGTGATTTTGCTCTGGTTTATTATGTCCTGACCTCCATATCATTTATTTTAGTTTGTGCTAAAAGTATTCCGCTTCAATATGCCATTAGTAATATATCCCCAGTCAAGCAAAACTTCCACTGAATCCACTTGTGTAGTGATTAAAATAAGCCATTAAAGTAGTGTACTAACCAAAGATGTAACCTTAGCTGTTCAGTCTGTTTGAGATGAAGAACATTACAAAGAAGTGCACAAATAAACTGCTAAACAACTGTTGGGATAGATGTCATTATCTTACATAAATATTCTTATGGAATACTTTTGTAATGTTATTAATAGCAAGGAGGCTTACATGCCATGTGTCCTACCTGTAAAGGTGGACAGGAACTGCAGAATATAGGTTGTGAAAATGAAGTATCTGTAACTTCACCTAGTCCGTGTAATCTGTCTGTAAACAGTTGCATGTAGATGAAAACAGGACTGTGTATGCCTTGTCTGATAATTCTTTATTAAAAGCTACCGATCTGTGCAATATGCCTAAATTGTCACAGACTTTGGAAATTTGCTATTGCAAATAATGAAAAAGTCCATTTTAACATTTTCATCCCTTACCTGTGAAAAATTTGGGGGAAGATAAGGATCAAAAGACAATTCCAAAAAAAATCTAGAAAAATCAGAAAATGCAGATCCAAAAAACCCAAAAAGTAGATTAGCAGCATTGGACCTTGTTGTATCAGTGCATCTTAAGTCTTTGAGGCTTCAATAGGCTTAATAAAACCACTTTAGTTTGGAGAGACATTTTTCACGTTTTCTGCACATGCTGATTTGTGTCTCAGAGCCTGAAAGCCTTGTTTTGGATGTGATACAGCAGTTTGGAGAAACAATGAATAGAAGCGGGATGTGGCAAAGGGCAGCATAGTTTCAGCCAGAATGATATGAGTACTCCAAGGTGGTCATCCTTCCTGGTGTGAGTCACACAGCAAACTCTTCTTCTGGCCAAGAGTCCTACAAACCCAAGAAGAGAAACATAAGGAGTAGTTAATGGGCAGGATATGGCAGCATTTCCCCAGAGATACCATTAGACTGTGTGCGGATGGGAGCCTCTGAAGTTCCAACTGGCTCTCATCCTCCTATAAACAGAGATTTGGATGAACCTGCAACTGCTGTGCCAGCAGAGTCCCTCTGCTGATCATACAACATATGGCTAACATGAAATCTGCACTTGGACTGCTTGTGAGCCATACAGGAAGTACCTGTAAGATATTTAACATGCAGAATTTCAATCTCAACTTCTAAGTCTCAATCAGCACTTTCTGCAGTTAACTTTTTTAGAAACTGGTAAAACTTGCGGTAAGAACAAAAATAATAAATGTAATGTTGTGAGGAAAAAGCAGTGATTTAACCCAGTAACTTTGCTGAAAAGAATGCGAGATTGTTGTATGGTATGAAGAAAGCAACTTTTCGATACGTGGCCAAGAGATGACTAAGAATTTTATCCAAGGTGAAACCTTATTTTCTGCAGTATGAAGAAGTTAAATCATGTCATAAAGAGGAACGAAAAACAGTGTGTTAAAACAGATTTAAGTTTTTCAATCCTGTTGATTGATGCGCTTAAAAACAGAGGTAGGGAAGGCATATTAGATAGACCATCCTCTGATAGAAAAGTCTTGCACTTTCATGCAACTGTCCCTTCTTCAGAGTGTACTCAGAGTCTAGAAAAACAATCCTGCTCCACTTTCGGGAAGACTGTATTTGAGGAGTTTTCCTCCTATACAGTCATGTTTCAAGTTGGTCTAATGAAAATTAACCTCCAAACACTCTCGCTTTGAAAAGGTGATTTCTCAATTTTGGAGGATAAATCTCATTAGTAATTAAACAGAAAAAAGCTGCCAGAATAGTATTTCCATAGTCAATATGTCCATATGTCAGCATGTGCTAGTGATGTCTTATGCTACTTAACTCAAAAAAAAAAAAAAAAAGAAGAAAAAAAGTTGGTTTCTGAATAATAATACTGCCAAAACTAGAACAAAATCACAAATGAGGTAAACAAGTACTGCAGAAATGGAGCAAACATCAAAGTGAACACTGTGACAGTGGCATAGCTGAAACAAAGGTCACTGCTGAATTTGAAGAAGGGATGAGGAGGTTATGGGCACCGAAGTATCTGAAAAGGGAAAGGCAGGTGTTAAAGAGCAAGTTCCCATAGATACAGCAACTTCAGGTTGTGGCTGCTTATCCCTTAGCCTGTGCCTCTGGGGGAAGACCTGGAAGATGCTGATTTAATGACTAGACCTTCCATCTTCATATAATACGACATAAATCATTCTGCCTCTGTTTCAAAAAGGCTGGCATGCTACTGTGTGATTGAGACTGGTAACTGATCTCTCAAGCATTTCCTGATGTTTCTGTGTGAAAGTTTGTGGATAGCCACTCCAAAAACAGATCTGGTGGGAGAATGTTATGTTTTTGTTCTGGTTTTGATGGGAGTTTTTTTAGGCTTTTTTCCTGCTTCATTGAGAAGAAGGAGGAAGAGATGGATGAAGCAGCAAGTTCTACCAGATCTAACACATTCTTTTAAACAAATATGCAAAAAAAAGTACTCTGGAATTAATATTTCCATATCTGTCAGTTTAAACATCTACCCTAGATTTTTCCACCTTTCTCTTAATTCTTGTAAACCAAGTGAAAAATCGTAGTGTTTTCCCATGGGTACTCATCTGAGGCTTTTATCACCTGCCCATATGGAGCTGCCCCAAACCAAATGCTCTGTAGCAATATTGAACATTAATTGGCAATTAATTAAAATAAATAAATAATAATGAAATATATTATTCCAGAACTTCAGATTTTATTTTCATTTCACTTTGGAATGGAGTTACACTGTTTTGTGCACTCCTATGGAGACACAAATCAGATCAGAATATCTAGTCTTGATTCAGAGATGTGAGGTCTGGATATGTACAAAGGCAGGAACTCATGTAGAATGAGCTTTTCAGCAGTCTACCCTCTTGTCCTCTTCCAAGTTGTCCCAGGTCTCCTTCCTACATCCCAACTGTGTCCTAAATACCTAGGTAAAGCAAATGAGAGATTTATCTTCCACCTTATGGCCTAAAAATATATCAAAGTCTACTTGAAATGTTTAAATGAAATTTCAGCTGTTAAAAATATTCTAATCAATTTTCCTCCATAGGAGCATATGCAGTGGGTAACAGGCATGCCTTCAGGTATCTGAAGGGCTTATATATATTATATATATATAGCATATATATATATATATATGCACCTGTCCTGGGTTTAGCAGTAGTAGTGTCCTAGGTTTAGCAGCCTTTGAGCAAATTAAACGCGAGATAGTTCATGCAGTAGCCCTTGGACCAGTCCGGACCGGGCCAGATGTAAAAAATGTGCTCTACACCGCAGCCGGGGAGAATGGTCTTACCTGGAGCCTCTGGCAGAAATCTCCAGGGTAGACTCGAGGTCGACTCCTGGGCTTTTGGAGTGAGGGATACAAAGGATCTGAGACCAGCTATACCCCAACTGAGAAAGAGATACTGGCAGCCTATGAAGGGGTTTGAGCTGCTTCAGAAGTGATTGGCACTGAAGCACAGCTCCTCCTGGCACCCCGGTTGCCCGTGCTGGGCTGGACGTTCAAAGGCAGGGTCTCTTCTACACATCATGCAACTGATGCTACATGGAGTAAATGGGCTGCACTAATTACACAATAGGAAATGCCAGGCATTCTAAAATTTGTCCAGGCATTCTAAAAGTCATCATGGACTGGCCAGAAGGCAAAGATTTAAGAATATCACCAGAGGAGGAGGTGATGCGTGCTGAAGAGGCCCCACCATATAATAAACTGTCAGAAAGTGAGAAGCAATATGCCTTGTTTACTGATGGGTCCTGCCGTATTGTGGGAAAGCATCGGAGATGGAAGGTAGCTGTATGGAGTCCCCAATGACAAGTTGCAGAAACCGCTGAAGGAGAGGGTGAATCAAGTCAGTTTGCCGAGGTGAAAGCCACCCAGCTAGCCCTGGACATTGCTGAACGAGAAAGTGGCCAGTACTTTATACTGACTCATGGATGGTGGCAAATGCCCTGTGGGAGTGGTTGCAGCAATGGAAGCAAAGCAACTGGCAACGCAGAGGTAAACCCATCTGAGCCTCTGCACTGTGGCAAGGTATCGCTGCCCGGGTGCAGAACCTGGTGGTGAAGGTACACCATGTAGATGCTCATGTACCCAAGAGTCAGACCACTGAGGAGCACCAGAACAACCAACAAGTGGATAAAGCTGCTAAGGTTGAAGTGGCTCAGATGGACTTAGATTGTCAACATAAAGGTGAACTATTTTTGGCCTGGTGGTCCCATGACACTTCAGGCCATCAGGGCAGAGATTCAACATATAGGTGGGCCCATGATCGAGGGGTGGACTTAACAGTGGACACAGTTGCCCAGGTTATTCACGAATGTGAAACATGTGCAGCAATTAAACAAGCCAAACTGTTAAAACCTTTTTGGTATGGAGGATGACGGCTGAAGTACAAACATGGGGAGGCCTGGCAGATTGATTATATCACACTGCCACCAACTCACCAAAGCAAGTGCCATGTGTTTACCATGGTGGAAGCAACCACTGGATGGCTGGAAACATATGCTGTGCCCCACGCCACTGCCCGGAACACTATCCTGGGCCTTAAGAAACAGATTTTGTGGTGACACGGCACCCCAGAGAGAATTGAGTCAGACAATGGGACTCATTTCCGGAACACCCTTATAGACACTTGGGCCAAAGAGTATGGCATTGAGTGGGTATATCACATCCCCTATCATGCACCAGCTTCTGGGAAAATCAAACGGTACAATGGGCTGTTAAAAACTACACTGAGAGCAATGGGTGGGGGAACTTTCAAACATTGGGATACACGCTTACCAAAGGCCACCTGGTTGGTCAACACCAGAGGATCTGGCAACAGGGCTGGCCCAGCCCAATCAGAACTTTTACATGTTGTAGAGGGGGACAAAGTTCCTGTGGTGCACATGAAGAATTTGCTGGGGAAGACAGTCTGGGTTATTCCCGCTTCAGGTAAAGGCAAACCCACTCGTGAGATTGCATTTGCTCAGGGACCCGGATATACTTGGTGGGTAATGCGGGATGATGGGGATGTTCAATGTATACCTCAAGGGGATTTGATTTTAGGGCAAAACGGCCAATGAACTTAATTGTGTGCTGTTGCCTGCCGTGTAATATTTTTAAAGCCCATCAACCAGATGTCTTCAGGTCACCAGCGACTAGCTCTGACTTCCCTCCAACCATCATCCCAACAGAGAATGAACTTTGACAGAACCAGACAAGTTCTGCAGTAAAGAAACGATCAGCATCAGCAGGCAAAGATTCAACACTGCACACAGCCTTTCCTGCCCTGAAAGACTGTTACAAGAGATGGAACTTGACATCACGGACCAAATGGACTCGGCGGCATTATAGGGATTGGTCCATGCACTAAGAAATGATCTCTTCCTCTCTGTCTGTGTGTGTATGTGGATCTATATATATATATGTAAGAGCAATGATATATTGAAAATGTAGGATCTGAGCATGACATGAATGGTATGGAATAAGGGGTGGATACTGTCCTGGGTTTAGCAGTAGCAGTCAATTTTTTCTCCTTCTTAGTAGCTGGTACACCGTTGTGTTTTGACTTTCAGCCTGGGAATAGAGCTGATAACACCGATGTTTTTAGTTGTTGCTAAGCCATGTTTACTCTGACCAAGGACTTTGTGAGTCTCATGCTCTGCCAGGGAGGAGGGGAGGCTGGGAGGAAGCAGAGACAGGACACCTGACCCAAACTAACCAAAGAGGTATTCCATACCACAGCAAGTAATGCCCAGGGAGGTAACCGGGAGTTACCCAGAAGGGCACAGGGCTCTCTTTTCGGTCAGACTCATTTCAGCGGGTGCTGTTGTATTCTCTTCCCTTGTTATTTTCTCTTATCATTATTATTATTGGTGGTAGCAGTAGTGATTTGTGTTATACCTTAGTTACTGGACTGTTCTTATCTCAACCCATGGGAGTTACATTCTTTTGATTATCCTCTTCATCCCAGAAAAGAAAGAGGGAGGAAGGGGGGAGTGAATGAGCGAGCTATCTGGCTGGGTTTAAACCATGACAGCACCCAAATAAATAAATATGGATGGAGGAAGAGAGGATTCACTGGTAATGGTAATAGCTTTGTAATTGAGGGGACTGCTAGAGCTGACTGCACTGTTGAAAATAAAAGGCCAGGACATAGACTGTTTAATTAAAAAGGAATCTTGCCATTCCATCATCAAACTTGGAGCAGGATTAAACTCTTCAGGCTAAGAACATAGCAAATGTTTTTTGCAGAACGCTTCAGAATTATGTGAAATGTCATGTACTTTTGTGACCTTTGTCATACTCAGTGTTTGTTTCTTGATATGCTGTACTAATATTGATATTTCTATGCCTACACTTTGCATTATGCAATAGGTCAAGATGTAGAGGTTTCTCTAGGTGAAGGTAAAGGTAGCTGCTGGATAATATTTGGAAGATAATAAAACACGCCCTAAAATTCTAGCTATTATTTCAATTAAAATGCCTAAGGTGTCAGTATGGGTCTTCTATAAAGTTTCATGGTGGAACTTCACCTCTTTCTCAACTTAATGTATCGATACCCCTTAGCATTGAAACAGTAATTTGTTCATTGCTGACTTTCAAAAGCCTTAACTTAAAATGAAGCCTGTTGAGATTTTGAGTTATTTCAGTACACTTCATGGCTAAATGTTTTAACTTGACACTTTTACACTTTTCTTAAAGATTATGACTCAGATGCTATGAGCAGCTCTTATGAATCTTATGATGAAGAGGAGGAGGATGGAAAGGGGAAGAAAATGAGACATCAGTGGCCTTCTGAGGAAGCTTCTATGGATCTGGTGAAGGATGCCAAAATCTGTGCCTTCCTCCTTAGAAAGAAACGATTTGGCCAATGGACGAAACTGCTGTGTGTTATCAAAGAAAACAAACTACTGGTAATTTTTATTTTTTATGTATCTGTATTTTCTTTATACCTTTTAGATGATGTATTTATTTTTACAGGACTCTGGTTTGGAATATATTCTGCAAAGAGTGGCCAAGTCTACAGTAACCTTACCAAAGAGTTTGGTCATGATTTACCGAAGCAGCGCTGAAATTAGAAATGCATCATTATGCCACTTAGAACTTTGGTTTTTAGTGCATTTAAACCCAGGCAGTTCCCTGATACTGGAAAGAAAGTCTGGCCTATTCTAACATATTTCATTTGGAAAAAGAAAATGCTGAAACTGTAAATCCAATCTTTCATTCCCTGAGGACAAAAAATCTCATAGGGAGCTTTGTGTATGAACTGTTAGATCAGACTGCTGGAGAGAAAAGTCCCTTGTTAGACTGAGAATTCACTTGGCAGCATATGCCGTGGTAATGTATACACTTTAAACTAAACCTTTGCCATCTGTTCTGCAGTAATTACAGATGCAGTATTCACATGATGCACAGCTGCAGTATAGAAAGAAAAGAAACAAGTGAATGTATTTGTTCCTTAAGCAAATCTGTTATGTTTCTTTCTGATTGGAGGCACCAGTAAAAGATTCCATAAGTTAGTAAATTATCTACTCATAGATCTCTTTTTATTTTCTAAAAAGAGAGCCTAATTGAGTGAAAGAGATATTTCTGTGTCACTGTAAGTGCACTAGTGCTTACAGTAATAAATAGGTTGGGTTCTCAGGCAGTTCCTGCCTTCCTATCTGGTGTTTCCAACAGTTGTAACTAATTATGTAAGCAGTAATTACCACAATCTAGCTAATGTTAGAAGCTGGTGATAGAACGTTTTCTGTAGAACCTCATCATTCTACAGTGGTACAATGCAGCTTAGCTGTGTTCAATTTCCAAGTTCATTTGTGTTTATGGCAGTGTAGGAAGCAACAGCATATGAAATAGAGGTAAGAAGTTTCTGAAAATATAATTGAAATGAATTTGCTAGATTTCAGCGGTTAGTGAGGGTTACATTTTTGTATGCTCCTCTATTTAAATGTCAAAAAGAATCTGATTCAATTTTTATTATATTGTTGTAATGCCATTATCCTTAGTTCACATTTTTATCACCATATATCAGGATCAGCTTTCAAGACCATCTGATAACAGCTTGAAGAAAAGAAAGAGGGAACAAAACAGATTTTTCCCTGAAGTCATACAATATTTCTTCTACAATTATGTTTGCTTCTGTATAGAAATATTTTTTTTTCTATTTTCATTTCTTTTAGCCACATGTGTGGTCTGAAAAGCTTTTTTTTTCCTTACAGGGATTGTCTTTCAGTAATTCTGTAATGGGGATTAAGAAAATAAAAATCACAATAGGAGTCTAACGACCAAGTTACACAAGTTTAGTTTATTGTTTGAACGAGGCCTTAGACATTTAACATATGAGATATGCAAGTAAAACAAATATATGTTCTTAGGGATTAGTACTTGCTTGTGTTATGAATGCAGCTGTCATCATAACCCCCAAATATTTTAATTAGAATTAGACATTAGAAGTAACTTTTCACAAGGGAATCATTTTTCACTTAAAGACCTTTAATATTGGAATACTTCAGGCTTAGTAATGTATAATTATAAATAAGATGTTTAAATTAATATAAAGAAAATGATATGCTGTTTATTTCTTTTTAAATACACTAATGTTACATGTTTTCAAGATTTCATAGCTTGAAAACTTAATGTCTTTTTAAATGTTACATGCTTAAAATCTGTGACCATGCTGGACAAACTTTGAGTTAACGGGCTTTGGAGAAGAAAGGCGGATTATGAGTGATTTGCAAAGGCGGGTTTAGAGTGGGTGTCTTTGCTCAAAGCCTAAGTTGTAGTGTTTATAACACACTTTTAACAGCTACTGTCTTTCTGACAGTTGCATCATGATGTGAATACTGCTGAAGACCTGCAAAAGTTCATGTGCATTTCTCTGTTCACATTTATACTTGACTATTCTATGCATGCATATACTAATTAGTCTTCTTTGTTATCAGATACTTTCTATATTATCAGACACCTTTATAGCCTTCATGCGTCTTTGAATGAGTGAAAGGCCAATTTACATAAGTGTATTAAAAAAGTGGACATTCATATGCACAGTTGAATGCTGTCTGTAATCTGGTACTATGACAGCTTTTAAGAGCCACAGCTGTACTGATGTGTTGGAAGGTAGGAATAGAGACTGGGACTATAGGTTAAGTGTTGTAACCCTTCATCTTTAGATCACTACTTTAGATACAGTGCAGGTCATCAGAGATCCAGCATGAAATGGCATTGGCAGCATTTACTAAAGAGGGGGAAAAAATCATATAGGTTATGTAGTTTTAGCCAGGAGCTTACAAAGTAAACTAGCATGGAGATTTATGCAGTGTTGTGCAATGACTATGAAACTGTATTGGCTGAAAAAGTGGGGCTTTGCCCCCTTTCTACACTGACAATTTTTTTTTACTTTTCTTAAGAAAAAGAAGAGCTAAGTAAAGCACGTGTCCATGCCTTTGCAATTGCAGCTGCAGGGACTGATGCAGTTTGCCTAGATAAGTAGGGCTGTTGCTGGAGGGCAGGGTAAACATCTGGGCTTTAAAGTCCTTAACTGCACAAGTTTATTCTGCTGCTATGTGTGAACAGATACCCTAAATCAGTCTTTTCCAACCTGATCAAGGTCAAGCTTGAGTCATAAGGTTAACGCAAAGAAGCTTAATGCGCTCCATGTGTTGTACCTGTCCTAAAATAAGTCTATTAATGTCAGTCTGGAAGTAATTTTGCTTTATAGAGGGGATGAGAAGGAGAAATGCAAAGTTGGCATTGGCTGAACTCTGTGGTATGTGGTAAAGGGGTGCATGAGAAATATTAAAAAATAGCATTTCTATATAATAAAATCTTTTCCCCAAGGTTCAGAAAGGTGTTATCTAACTTTTGAACTTACCTTCCTTACCATTTTTTAGTGTTACAAAAGTTCCAAGGACCAGCAGCCCCAGATGGAGCTACTCCTGAATGACTGCAGTATCACATACATTCCCAAAGACAGTAAAAAGAAGAAGCATGAACTGAAAATCTCGCACCAAGGAGCTGATGCCCTGGTTCTGGCAGTGCAGAGCAAGGAGCAGGCAGAACAGTGGCTAAAGGTAAGGGCGGGGTTTCTGACCAAGAGCTTTTCCACTCACAAAGTGCTTCCATTCCCTGTTCAATTACTCTTAAAAACTGAGATAAGACTTCAACTTTCAGTCAAATCCAGACCATTTAAATCCCATGTAATTTGGGACTGCAGAATCAGGCCTCGAAGCAACTCCTTGGGCAATCAGCAGCTCAGGATTACACAGGTGCTGCTGCTGCATATGGTTTTCACTGCTAATTACACAACAGTCTGCAACTGAGAGGAGAGGCAATTCCTTTCCATCTTCATCCTCAGGTCATGTTTGAGAAAGCTATTAGTAGTGAGTTGAAGATTGAAATTCCCTAAGGTGTAGAGGAGACTGGAACCCAGGTTGCTTTTTGGAATGGTGTATTGCATAGCTGTCATAATCTACCCTGCAAAATAGGGATAACAACATCATAGTAATCTTTTTTTTAAAGCAGGATCTCTGAGGAGATACCTGTTTGAATTCTTCTAGATGGAGAAACGTCCTTCAACCTCCTGAAGTCACCTCAAGTTTGCTAATCCTGGTTTAGCAGAGTATCATCTGTTATGGTTTGTTCTGGGAATGCAGACTTCTGAGAAACGGGATTTTGTAATCTTTTACTCCTTTTTGTTCATTGTCTGCAAATGTGGAAAATCCCAACACAAGGACTGCAGTTTTAGATCCTAACCAGAATACTAGTATTTATGTTGGACTTTGCCAGTCTGAAATGTGGAGGTCAGTGAAGTAATGTGGGAAACCATCACTGCAGTTTCAGTAGCTTGTTTTTAAAACTTTGAAATCCAGCCTTTTGAATGCATAAGACTCATCAGGCATTCTGCATGCTGTGCTCTGATCTAACCTTATATGGCACTTATTTTTCTAAGAATAAATTGTATTTTTCCAAATACAATCAAATTAAAGACGTAGGAATTTCCTGATGGCAAATAGTTTTTCTGCAGAAGAAGGAGACATAAAATGCCAGTCAAGAGTTATGAGTTCTGCTGAGGGCTAATTTACTAAATGGGAAATTAATCTGTAATTTCCTATTTTGCAATACTGAATATACCTTTTGGGGGTTTGCAGTTTGTGTGTGTTTGCTTTTGACTGCAAATTTAGCTTAGAAAATGCACTCTCTATTGTCTTTTTTAATAGAAACTAACCACAGATATGTATTGGTGAGGCTTCTTCTAACATCAGTGTCTTGTTTTACGTTTTAAAATCTAGCGCAATCCAAGTGTCCCGCTAACTCACCTAGAGTTTCAAAACACTGATTGGAATGAAAGGAGTCATAAGTCATATTCTTTTCCAAGGGAATTCTGCTGTCATTAGATCATAGTAACTGCATCATTATTTCCTGTGTTGTTCTAAACTTGGGGTTAGTAATGCTGAATTCATTGGCAGTTATCAGACTTTCTTTCATAAAAATGGTTGTCTTTTTAATTGTACATAAAGCATTCCTGGACAGTATGTTATCTGAAAAGCATTTGGAGACAGTCTGACAGTGCTTTATTTAGCTCCTTCCTGCTGCAAGGCTCTCTGTTAATAAAAACTCTTTCAAGTACATGGCAGTGCTACTGTATGCTCACTTCCAAGCCCTCAGCGCTGCTGCAGCACACTGTTCTGTGCAGTACAACTTGCCTATCCAACAGCTAACTACAAATGGTTAGGTGTTGCAACAGCTCCAGTGTTTTCAAGGAGCACAGCTTTCTGCAGAAAAAAAAGCAATGGGTTTTGTATAATTAAAAATGAAGCAAAATTTAAGGGGTGTTTTATTATTAATATGAAAATAGCTATTTTTTGCTCATTTGAGCCTTATAAAAAATGAGCTTCTGAAAATCATGTATGGTTTTGTGTAGGAAGTTCCTATAGTACTAAGAGATCACTAACCCTAATACGTGCCATTGGAGCCAAGTTATCGCTTAGGATCTATGGGTTCTCATTAATTCACTTGTAAGTGTCAAAGTAAAGCTTTCCTTTTGAGCCTGAAAAGCTCAAAATGGCTTTGGAGGCCAGATTTTCCCATGAAAGCTAAACCAGATATTCTTTCTTTTCAGGTTAGATGTAATCAGTATAAAATACGTTTATATAAGCAAGGAATTTTTAAATATCAGTTGGAACACACGGCAAAATAAAGGCAGAATATTTTAGACTTTTTTTGTAAAGATGACACCAAAAAACCCCAGCTGATAAACTCAGTGTAAATTGAAGTCTAGACTGGAAACCACAAAGGGAGTTTCAGTTTTACCAGCTAACAAATGCTTGATGAAAAAAAAAGATAGCTGATGTCACCAAAGAGCCTGTCAAGATTTCAGAGCAAGGAGAATAAGTAGTATAAATTCAGGTTAGAGCTGAGATAATACATTAGAGCTGTAATATGGTGGGCAACATGAAGTGGTGGAATTTTCCTCACTTGAGTCCTAAAATGTTCCCACAAAAGTGTACATAAAAAAATATGTGCAGTTACACACTCTGACCCAAAAATGATCTTTTTCCATGCGCACTTGAGTATATGTGCATCTGTGTGTGCTTTTGTGCATTTGTGGTCAAGTAAGGTCTTAAATCTGCCCGTTTGTCCCAGCACAGCCCACAGACTGGTGAAACTACACCTACTTGTCAGCATCCCTGGGAAATGCTACATTAAAAATAAAAGGACTACTAAGAACATGACATTATAAGAAGGTGCTTGTTTAGTGGCTTCATTCATACAGATGAATGTGTTCTGTGTGCAGGACCTTCAGACTAAGCCACATAAATCTGCTCTTAAGAACACATGGATGCCAAAGGAATTAAGTTCTGGAGTAGCTTCTTGTAGAAAACCAGTAGAAGGACATGGTCATGGTGTCTGGTCACAAGGCCTGCTCTTCCTCTTTGCATTGCCTTTGGCAAAAATGTATTTCTGATTTATCACTCATGAGAGGTAACCTATCATTTTGGGTTACTGGCCTTGATTTTCATTTTTCCCTAACATTAGGCACCTTCTGGTAATTCTTCATTTTGCAGTGTGCAGCCATTTTGCAGCAATCTCTTCAGTGGAGGGTCTGTAACTGAGCAGTCACTCTTTCAGGCATACATTTCTTCATAGAATCATAGAATAGTTAGGGTTGGAAAGGACGTTAAATCATCTATCATTTTGACAGTGTTCAGTTCTGAACTTGTAATAAGAGATTTTATGCCCTGAAGAGAGAAGAAAATCAAGGTTGTGACTGTATCGAGGTGTGCAAAGGCCTTGCAACACTCCTCATAGAGCTGTTAATCCTGTTGTCCCACCCGGTTTCCATCTCTAATAACTGCATGCTGTCTCTCGTAAAAGTCTTTGAAAACCACTTTTTGTTTTCATTGCCCTGAGCTTAGCGAGGGGAATCAAGTAACTTCTGGGCTCCAGTCTTGATGTGCACTGAGTTTTTCTGAAGTATAAACTACTGACAGTGCTCTTCTTTTACCAGTTTAAAGCGGCACAAAACTGAGCTTGTAACTGTAAACATTGTGTGGCTGCTTTTACTTTCTATGGGAATTTCCAGCCAGAGATCTCAAAACACTTCAAACATTATTTTCTTGGCTTAAGTAATGTTCCCCAAAGAGGTTATTATCTCTATTTTATAGCTGAGTAGAGTCAAGTGCTGAATGATTATGCCTTAATAACTGACTGGAAAAACTGTGCTTGGGGATGCATACTTGGTACTAGTGATTTCCATTTAGCATTTGTTAGTTTGCAAGTATATATACTGTGTCCCAAGACAGGCAGGCTAGGTTCTGGGTTCTTTCTTTTACATCACCAGCAGTGAAGGCTTTGCAACTAAATTAAACCTCGCAGGACTTACACCCCTATTGTCTTAAAGAGATGGTTTTAGATAACTGGGTTCAAATAATGGCAAGGTTACTATATTTGCATCGGACCTATTTAGGGCCAAATCTGATAGACTAAGCTGTGAATGAGAGCTTTGACCACCCTGCAGGACTGCTGTCAGTGTGCTTTGACAAAACTAGAGGACCCCAACTTGGCTGTGAATCAGTGTGTCTGTGTGTGGCCAGCAGATGCATACATAAATTAAAATAAATAAATAAATAAATGAGCAACAAAGAAAACCAATTAACAGAACCACAAACATTCAATTTCCTTGTTTTCTCAGTGATAAGTTTTCTTTAGGTTCCTGGTTAAAATCACAGATGTAAGCTATAGCAGATCTTGGAGCAAAACCCAGGAGTGCTGAGACTTGATGCCCTGCTTTCTCCACTAGATAGTGTTCCTCCTCTCTTGTACTGGCAGCTTTGGATTGAAAATTACTTAAATCATAGTTAGCTCAGATTTACAGCCTGACGTGTGGTCTTGCATCTCCACACTGGGCTGGGGATGCAGCTCCCCTTGCACAGGGCACCTCTGGCCTTGCAGTCGCCTAGCACCTTCTTCCCTGGGCTCTGTCTGGTCCATCAGCCATATGTACCAATATTCATGGTAATTACACTGGAATAATATAGGGGTTGTCTTGGTTGAATGTGTCAGAAAAATATTTTTAAGTTGTTATACAGGCACAAAAGATAGGCTTGCTGGCTGCTAGTCTGCTAGAATCTCACCCCCACTTTGCTCAAACAGCAATAAGACAGAAAGATGAATCATTTCAGGCTAGGGATGATTAAAAATGATGTTTTCCAGTACAAAAGGTGAGGGGGGGGGTTTCTTCTTGAGACTTAAAGCACAGGCTATGATGTGGATAATTTCTGCTTTTCCTCTAATTTATGTAGGGAAAATCATTCGAGCATTTATTCTGTACAAAATCCTAAGAGAGTTTTGGTGCTCCCTTAAGGATGAGGAGATTGATACTAACAAATGTAATCTGTAAGAGTCCAGAAGAGAGAAAATGAGAATTTAGTCATGCCAAAATGACAAGGAGTCCCAGAAAGTCAGTACTCCTCCAGCACTGAAAAAAGAAGTGTTTCAGGAATGAGAAATAAAGGATTACACCTGGGGCCAAACTCTTCTCCCTGTGCTATGTTGTGCATAAGCAGATTTCAGCTTTACCATATTGCTATTTTCAGAGTTAAGCTATGGAGACAGGGGATACAGCTTGTCCCATTTCTATCAATGCCTGTATTTCCAAAACTTGTGGGGTAGACAAGCTGGGGGTGGGGGATTGACTTTGTGGATTTCTAGCCTGGTTACATACCGAAGTGAACCAAATGTGCAGTCAGGCCATCAGCTTTCTCCATAATCATCTTTGAACTTAATCATATTAAAAGTATGAGCTTTTCCTGTGAGTTTCATGAAAATAAGAGATGTTGTAATCACATCAGCCTGCAGCCTGAACTCATCCCATGGTATCCACCAGGAGAGATGCCTGCAAGCTGCTCGAATGCAGGATGACTTCCAGGGCCCAAAGAGATCAACCACGAGGACCCATCTACACATTCAACACTTTTACTCAGAATTTGCTGGGTTTGTGTGTGGCAGGATCTGGCTGGCAAGCAGCCTTTCTGGTTTTACTGTCTAGCCTTGTGCTTTTCATCTACAGCTTGACTCTGAAGGTAGCTGAAAAACCTAATTGATTCTTCTGACTTTGCGTATAGAAAGAATAAGTGGAGGGCCTCCTGTCCTGGTGTATCACTTAAAATAAGAGACAAGAATTATAGAAATTTGTAGGTGAGTGAAAGTCTGAGGGTTTTACAGTAAATGTTAGTGCTTGTGTGGTAAGATAGTTTTTAAAGAGAGAAATATTCCAGACACACCACATGGCAGAAATTCCACTGACTTCACCCGTCACTGTCAATGGCTCAGGGCAGGGAATCTTTTCAGCTCTCTACCTGCAAATATTTTCCCTCTATTCCTCATGTTACTGCACTCAGTGTGATACACTGGTGTATACCTGATCCAGCTGGAGATTCAAGGCGTTTCTATAAAGGTCTAGAGCACATGTGTTATGAGGAGCGGGTAAGGGAACTGGGGTTGTTCAGCCTGGAGTAAAGGAGGCTTGGGGGGGACCTTATTGCTGACTACAACTACCTGGGAGGAGATTGTAGTGACGTGGGGATTGGTCAAGTAACAAGTGATAGGACAACAAATGGAAATGGCCTCAGGTTGCACAAGGGGAGGTTTAGACTGGATGTTAGGAAAAACTTCTTCACCAGAAGGGCTGTCAAGCACTGGAACAGGCTGCCCAGGGAAGTGATGCAGTCACCATCCCTGGAGGTATTTAAAAGACGTGTAGATGTGGCACTTGGGGGCACAGTTTAGTGGTGGACTTGGCAGCAGTAGGTTAATGGTTGGACTCAATGATCTTAAAGGTCTTTTCCAACCTAAATGATTCTATGATTCTATAAATAAGAAATAATAATATAGTTCAGGCTGCACAAGTTTTTTCCAGGTCTGCATTTGACAGTGGCAGTTCTGAAATCTGCTAATTGTAAGACTGTAATGGTAATTGTGGTATTTAAAATTCTTGTGATGGAATAACAGAAGATTTTTTAAAATGTGTTTAGTTTTGAGGCTATCCAAAGAAATGACAGGTCTTCAGTTTTCTGATTACATTTACTTGTGTATTTTAAATATTTGAGTACATAGTCAGTTTATGATCTCAGTTTGATTTTCCTGGCAGATCACTCTCTCTCTCTGTATATGTAACAGACAAAGGCATTTGTGGTGAAAAAAAGAAGGGAATGATTTCCCATTTCTAAAGTGTGAGAAAACTAAAACTATTAATGGAGTATGCACCATTACAAAGTATTCGCAGTACAGCCTTCCAGATTATACCATTTTATTAAAAATAACACATTTGGGTATTCCTTTCATTTGGTTTCTAGTCTTGGAGCCATTGAGATACACTTACTCATATTTTCACACATTTCATTTCATTTCATTGCAATGGATAAAAGTTTGCTGACCTCCTTTCCCTACTCTCACTCACAACTATTTTTTAATGAAAATAGTGATCTTTTGTTTTCCTATGACTCCAGAAGATGGAACATAGAAAAAACTGACAAGAACTCTGAATCTTGTGATTGAAATTATGCAGGTTGGCAACACTGGTGGAATGTTTTATTCTTAAAATTTTGAGTTAAAGCTATAAGCATGTGAAAACCAGATTTATAATGGCAGCTGTCTGCAAACGTAATTATAGAGAGTGCATCCATGCAATCATTATATAGTAAAGGCATTTCATCCTGGTGAGCTGTAGAAGTATGAGTTTTATGCTGTGCGTTGAACATAATTATATTGCGCATAGGAGGTGATGAGCAAATCTCTGCCGGTGAACCTTGAACCCAAATGAAGTGTTGGATCCTTGACTATGCCTTTACTGCAGATCTTGCCACAAACTTTCATTTAATAGTGTGTCAATTTTTTAATCAAAATTTAATTACAACCCAATTAAACACTTTAGCTTCTCATTAAATATGTGAGGTATGATAAGAACCGGATTTACTTGAGTGCATGACTTTGCACATACTATTCAGTTAGTGCTGCCAAATCATTTCCCTCTGTTCTGTCTGTAACTCCCATTACTATCTGTCTTTGCCAAAATTAACTAACTGTGTGGTGTGAGCAGATGCTGAAAACATGAGCCATTGAATCAGGGTCATGCAGGAGACAGAAATAAATGTTCCCAGAAACTGTATGGTCACTTTTCTTCAGGAAGAAAACAGCAGTGTATTTACACCATAGTGAGGACCAGCAGTTGAAAATAAAACAGCACACATGCAAATAATTCTTGTGATTTTAATGAAATTAGAGCTACATTTAACTTTGAGGTACAAATGCTCTGCAACAGATATATGTAAATTTTCTGTTACAAAGGATGACAAGTGCCATGAAATACTGTGCTTTTGTTTCTGGGACAAGATATAGGGAAGTTCAGCCAGTTAAGAAGAAATGCTGAAGTGTTTTAAGATACTCGTTCATGAATAAACAAGTTCATCTCTCAGCTCTGCTCAGATTTTTTTATGTGACACTGAGTGAGTGATTTAATCTTTCTTTTGTTCCTGAGTTCTCCATCTGTAAAATGGGGCTACTGATCTTTCTTTATGACAAATAATGCCTTTAATTTATAATGTGCTCATGAAGTGTAGCAATAGGGTTTTTGTAAGTCCACAAACATTTGATTTGTTTAGCTTCACCCTTAAAAAGGAACTTCTGTACTGTGTAAAGATTGTTTGGTGCCATCTTTAGCTCTTTAGTAGTTTCCACATCAGGATAACACAGTTTGAAACTAAAAAGACATTGTTTGTTGGTTTGCTTAGCTGGATTGCTGCTTTCCCTGGAACTAGGAGTTCTCAGGCCAGATCCTCCTCTCTGCCAGCTGAGCTTGCTGTAAACAGTGTAAAAGAAGGAGCTGGATATGTAAACATACATGTACATGTAAAGGGGAGAGTTTTCATGCCTAGCGGTAATGCTTCCAGTAGAGTAGGATGCTTTTCTTTCTTATCTTGCTTGGTTCTGCTGTCCTTGAATGAATGCATGGGTGTAATCAGTGGTTTGGAGCTCAGCACCCCCTCGGCATTAATCTGGATGGAGAATCAGGACATGTTCTCATCAGCACAAGTAGTTCTAGGCTCATAATGGGCTGGTGGTAGCCTCATAAGAGATAAAAACCTTATGTCCATGGGAAATCATCAACTGTCTTTACCCAGCATGTGTTTTTACATTTAGATATTTTAAGGGTTTTAAGTTCCTCAAATTCTGTTAAAAATCTCAGTGAATTCCAGGTTATGGATTTTTCTGTAATCTTTTAAAAGCAGACAATGCCATCCCCATTTCCTACAAACACATTCACAATTTGACCTATACCTTTATGTCAATGTGCAAGTATAATAGAAAAATGCTGTGAAATACCATTGCACAGTATTAAGCTGATCAGCACTTCGTTAGTTCTTCAGTAGCAAAGAAAGAGCAGCTGGATAGCATATTATGCAAAACTCTTATCCTTTGACTTAAGTGACCTTGGATTTAATACCACTTTTTCATCATCACAATGAAATTAGTTTGTTGTGTCAGCTGAGTTCATGTTGCAAACTAGCATATGGAAATCAGCAGCGCTGTTGGTTTGTTACTCAGGAGAGCCTTGGAGCTTAGCTTATCTAGAAACTGAAACCTTCCACCTCTAGACATTGTGTCTCCTCCAGGTGATACATGAAATAACTAAGGGAGGCAGCATGGAGAAGTTGGTTTGACGGCAGACCTCCTGACACCTGCCAGCCTAATACATGTCTGTGTGATTCTCCTTCCCATCTCTCTTCACATTCATATATAAATTCTCTGATTTGTGCCTTATGAACAATTAACAAGTTTTGCCTTGTCTCCTAAGGTTATAAAAGATGTGTGCAGCAACTGTACGGGAGCTGTAGACTCCGATGGACCATTGTCTAGTTCTCCAGTACACAAGATAGAGCTGGAGAAGGTAAAGTTATAAATCTTCTTTAATGCAAAACTCCTTATGGTTACTTATTAAAGAGGCACCTCTAGACACTGCATGTAGTTACTGGCTGATTTGTGCTACTGATTTAGAGTGTTAGTCCCTGTGTTGTATTTGATTGGATATGTGCACCCATCCTACAGAGTTAATACTTCTGCCACACCTATTTATTTGGTCATGATCAACCAGCAGACTGGCTCATACTCATTAGCAGCTTCACTTTAGCCATTCAGAAGGGTGAAGACTTAAGCAGATCTGGTACCTGTGCTGTGCTGCAGAGATGCTCTCCATCAAGTACAAAGAGCAAGAAGGGATGTGACTGTCAAGGAAGAATAGCTGAAGATTACAGAAAAGTTTTAAGGGACAGTCTTTTATTTTGGGGAATTTAGTACTTGAAGAGCTCCCTGGGCATGCTGAGGTCATTGTTTTGGCAGAACCTTTCAAGCATTTGTGCCTTAATACAGAAACTTGGCTATGTGGTTGTCTCTGCTGCTGCCTTGACTCAGCAGGATATGATAGCAAGAATTAGCAGGAAGAGCAATTCTAAAGTGAATGATCAGTACATTACCAGCACCAATTTAAGCCCCTGCTATGCTAAGGCATCCATGTGAGCAGACCCTGTGCTTAAAACTCCCACTAGACAAAGGTTCTGTCACCAAATTCCTGATGGCATGTTCTACCCCTATGGTGGAAGGACACCACTGTCAGTAGTGTTATGTTGCTTTGGCCTGGAAAAATAAGAGCAAAGCACACTCCATGACAGCTCAATCCTCGTGATTTCACATGCAAAAGCACGCTGGCACACACCTGCACAGTATTAAAAAGGTAACTGAAAACGTCATAAAATGGTGGTTTTCTAAACACATGCCATAAAAAAGTGCAGCAAAATTTCTCATTTGTTTATTTTTGTGATAATCTGTACATCTTCATGGATTCACCACTCATGAGTAATATGGTTACCAAAACTGTGCTGGTGGAAGCTCTGTACTGCTTCATCCCATATCTCATACACAACCATTACAGAATAATCACTGCTAAAATTTTATTTCAAAAGCCTCTTTTTAGCACATACTGAATATTGAAGCACCTTGTAGGAGTGCACTATTTTCTGGTAAGTTGTAAATATATATATGAAGCTTTATTTAAAGATATAATTTAAAAATTATTCTTGTCTGATCCATGTAATTTTTCATTGTTTATGAGATTAATAAACAGCGACATATAGAATCTAGAAATTCATTACAGATATGTAATAAGAGGTACTGAATTAGGATTAGTTCACTATTTTGACTACAGTTTCAAATATAGACCTATTTTATTGTTTGTGTGCTTTTCTAAGGCCACTAAAACTGATTTTTTTATTATCTATTTGTCTTCCAAGTAGGTGAGAGTTTGCGGTGTGTTTTATTTCATAGTAAGCATCCTTTTAAGTTGACTCATGACACTTGATTTGGTGAAGGTGCCCACACTGTATGTCAGCTAATTTCTTTGCTCCTACAGAAGCTGTCATTTGAGAGGCCAAGCTCGGATGGGGAGGGTGCTGTGGAAAATGGCACCACTACTGTGTGCAACGGAAAGGAACAAGGTATGTCTCGGATCCCGAGATGCTTGGTCTAAATAATATGTGCATATAGGGAGTGATTGGAAGTGAAATACCTGGCATTGTATTTTAAAAATAGGCAGTCAAGCTTTTGAATATTTTCATTAGAATTTAATTTAACTTGAAAGAGTATTAAGAGTGATTCGTTAAAATTTTGCAGCACCATAAGGCACTTGATGTTATTGTGCAGGTGAAATCAATACAATAGTAAGGGAACAGAAAACAGAATTTTGGCTTGGCCTTTTGTATGTTCAAAAGTAGTTTTTCAGAGCTTGAGCGACCACTAGAGGCAACTAGCAGTTGCGTTTTGTAATCGTAACTATAGTGGCAACATAAACAGTACAGCTTCTGAGAAAAAGGCGGTCACTGAGTACTAGAAGGAAAGAATCATTCATATATGAGTATGTATACACATAGATACACAGTTTAAATATATGTGTGTATACACAAATACATATATATATAAAGCTATTCTATAAGATTATATTAAAATACTCATATATAACAATGTGATATCAGTGGATTTGTGAGTATATATGTATAAAATTTTACATATGCTATTTTGCAGCCATGCATATTTTGTAGTCCTTATAATCTAACAAAGGCAGATCCTAAACCGTGGGGAATTTTGTCTGAGTTCTACCTAAACACTCAACCCCTATGTTGTCTTCCCCATCCCCTTCCCTCCTCTTTAAAGTGGAAGAAAACCTGTGACTTCGTTAAGTTGCCATGTAGTAATGGTATCACTTAGATAAGACATTCTTCTGTATCTGTCAAGATGAAGGGTAATGTGAGCTGCAGTGAGCACAATGTCAATACTGGCCTTGGTGCCAGTGCTGTCTCGCCTATTGACTGATTTCCTTTGATCTTCTCCCTGGGTCGTTTTCCAACACTTCCTGGCTATGCAGATCTCTGACATACCCAACAGTATGGAACAATGTCAGGCTTTGTGGTTTCTAGAAGTTGTGGTACATGGTCAGATTCCACCCTATAAAATCTACTGAGCTTTGAAAAAGCTAGGTACTGTTTTAGTCTTTGAAACCTGCTGAGAAACATCTGTGATCCAAAAGCTGTGTTGTCCAGGATGTCCAAAAGTGCCTAGTGGCTCAGGTGCCTTGCAGGAGGCATGCTGATGGATCATGTGCTGCTGGAAAAGCAGCCCAGCTTCAATGTCTCAGGAAGGGTAATAAAAATATAATTTCTTTCTGAAAACTGTGACCTTTAACATGTTGAAATAAAAATACTATGCATTAATGACTGCAGAAAGATTGAAACAACCGTGGTACCATCTTAAAGGGTTCTGGATGAAGTCACACTATTTTTTAAGCCGTAGATAGGAAAAGCTTAATGGAGTACGTGGGAAGGGAGACGCTGGAGAGCTATTGTCTCCAGCCATCACCCACTTGCCAACCTCTGTGCTGCTCTTAACCAGCTGCTTGTTTTGTGATGGGGAAGGAAGTGAAGAGAAAAACCTATTGTGAAAAAAAAGCAGTGACAGTCAGGCAGCTGCCAGTATATTCTTCAGACTTGAAAAGATTAAGTCATGAAGGCCTTATTTCTGCTGCCTCTCAGTTCTGCAGGAGAATAAAACAGCAGTGTGAGGAGAAGATAGGACAGAAAGGACAAAACCCCCACTGAAATGGGCTTATTCCACTGTGTGTGTTCATGCTCATGAGTATCATGCTCATGATTCCGTTGGACTTCTGTCTCAAAGGAGATGAGTTTTTCTCAGTCTGTCTTTTTTCAATGTTTTTCATCTCCTCCCCACTCAACAGTCACAGTCAGTCATTGGCTGCTGCTGGTGGGATGGAAACCTGTCTGCAGGCTGGTGCTGCATCCAGGTGATCACTTAGGCAGGAGGTTGACAGGAGCAGACAGGATGTCTGGAGACTTCCTCCTTTAAACCCAGGGGGTGGTTGCATGTTAGGGAGCATAATGTAAGTTGTTAGCACTCTTTTTAGGAATAGAGAATTAGACCTTTCTTGTACACACGCATTGCTGTATTAGAGTTTGCTGGTGTACAGCTATCTGTGCCTGAAAAGCTCCCTTTCCCCCTCAGCACTGCATGCAGCAGGTGACAGATGTGTACAGTCTTGGCTACAAATAGCATTTCTAAATAATGTGCCATGATTCCTAATGATTAAACTAAATATGATAAATTATCCCATTGTGAGTCCCAAACTGCTTCTCTATTTCCCATGCATTCTTCTTCCTAGTTCATCAATTCATACAGTCATTTTTCATATAAACATTGTGTCCTTTTTTTTTCCTTGGTTTACACAAGTCCATAAGCACTAAATGTTCTGTGTTGCAATGGGAATTGATATGTCAGGGATAAAGTTACAGCAGCTCAATCAGTAACTATGCTAGATGTATTTTTCATCAAAATCATGTATCAGGGCAAGTTAATGGATATTTTTACCACTCTGTCAGTTAGCAGAGGGACTTCTGTTCCATTGAGGGAATTCAAATTAGGCCACTAAATGCAATTTCTGAAGGTTTATTTCATTTGTTCCATTTTGCAAATAAAAAGTTGTTTGTTCTGTTTTGGTTTGTTTTTTAATTGCTTAATCTGACAAAGTTGGGGTTTTGTTTTAAATTGGTTTGTTAAGATTTTAGTCAGGCAGATACTTTAAAAAATGATACCCGTAGTCCTCAGTGCACAGAGCCATAATGCTAGTAGTATCATACTGAGTTAATGGAAGCATAGGCTGGACGTTACTGAAGTGTCAGAGCTTTTTCTTGCCAAGACCTCATGATCACAAGGAGTGCCAACTTTTAGATATAATGCTTATACTGATCCAACTAATTTAATTGTTAGTAGTTGATTTATAAGTTTTATCTTTCTAAAAGGTCTGTTGTTATCTTTACGATAAGGTAGCTTAACTTAATTGTATATCAGTAGTATTTTGCTAGGCAAGCGTACTCTGTCTTTGTTGTGTATATAATTGTTGAAGTATTTTGAGGTGAATGTTTAAGAACAATGGAAGATTGACTGGATTTTTATTCTTGTGTATATGAGCTAAATTTATATGCAGGTACCTCAGTCATACTGATAAATCAGGTGGTGACTAGTGTGGAAAGAGACTTGCAGCTTGATTAGGCTAAATTAAATTGATTTGTACTTGATTTTTGTTTTTCTTATCCTTCTGAAAGCCATGATTTTCATAGCACAGAGGTTATTTATAAGCATCTGCATTAGAGAGGGCATATAATGTTTATCTCACTGCAGTCTGCAGCTTCTGTACAAATGTTCATCTTGCACAGAATTGTTTGAATGAATGTTCATCTTGCACAGAATTGTTTGAATGCGCAACTGTTTTTATGCAGGTTCTCACTATTTGATGGTTGATTTAAACACACTAAAATACACACTTTTGCTTTCTTAATAGTGAAGAGGAAAAAAAGTTCAAAAACAGAAGCCAAGGGCACTGTGACTAAAGTAACGGGGAAAAAAATAACGAAGATCATTGGTTTAGGAAAGAAAAAGCCTTCAACAGATGAGCAGACCTCATCAGCTGAAGAAGATGTCCCAACATGTGGTAAGTGATATTTCTCCTTGAGTCTTAAATGCACATGGTGACTAAAATTTTATAAAGTTCTAGCCTAGAAATTCCTTCAAAACTGCTTTTATTGCTGTAATTCTTCCCCCAGCACCAGAAGGATTCACTCATTCTGTGAGAGTAGAATAACTAAGAGCTTATCATCTGAAAAGAGACAAAAGTAATGAGTTTTAAAATAAAATAGTAGCATAAGCTCAGAAGGAGTATCATTGCTCTTTGCAAAGGTTAGGGGGAAGAGAAACGTGGACAAAAAGCAAAAAGAAATCAGTTGTTTTCAAACAAATGGATATAAAATGAATATGGGCTGGACCATAAAATAAATTTAGGCTAGGAATTAGAAGAAGTTCTTGGGAAGGGGTCAAGTCTTTCATAATGGGTCATGGTGAGGTTCTATGGGATAGCAATCAAGACAGCAGCCAACTGGCCTCAGCCAAAGTGATTTGATTTTGTTTAATTGTGGGCAAGACTTAAATGAAGTAACAAATTTCTAGGAAGCTATTTTAACTCCTAATGATGATCACTCCATATAACAGCTGTAGTGCTTGGCAGCACCAAGGAAGTATATAAAAAAGCGTGCAGAAATGCTTATGTTTTGTATCTCAGCTGTTAATGTTTGCTCAGAATTCAGGACTTTGTGCACTGCACTTAGTTTATGTCCTCACAGCTCTGGTATTTTCAAGCAATGCAATGTGTTTACATTCTCCTGTTTGCCTTTTGGTACTCCAGTATTAGGTAACACTTCCATATGTGAATAAGGGTGAACCCACCCTTCTCCCAGTCCCTTCCAAAAAGAGGCTTCATAGAAATCAAGCCGTGAAGCAATTGCACCAGATTCTGAATTTGGATTTGCCTTTTCCCCTTCAACTGATTAGGAAAACTTTGGGAAACCCAGAAATCTGTGATTAGGCAGCAGCTGGGAGAGCTAATGGGCACATGAGGTGTGACAGATGCTTGCCCAGTGTGAAAGAAGCAGATCCGTGACCACCAGTGAGAGCTTTGTAGATCACAGGTGGCTTTCAAGCCACATTTTGGGAATTATTCACATAAGCAATCTTTGATTAAATAAGTGTGTGTATATATGTCTATACATCAGCTAAGTACAGATGTGATTTATCAACCAAAAGAACAGCTGGGAAAAGCTGTGTCCAGCCAGATGAGTTGTCCGAAGCATCTGGCTTCCATTAAAACTCAGACTTCCGGGCCCTCATACTCCATTGATTATTCTGTATTATGTGAGACGTTAACCACAGCTGTATAATTTAATTCTTAGTATTTCTATCATTGTTTCGGATATAGCCATTACTGTTGCCTGTATTTGGCTGTACTCAACACCACTTGCAGATTTTATAGGAAAATATCTAAGTGTCTAGGCTTTGGTCATTGCAGGAAGTCTTTGCTGAAGAGTTTCTCACAACCAGAAATTTGGCTCATTTCAGTGCCCTCTGGGAGGCTGTTCCTTAGTTGAAGGTTTTTCACATTTTAGAAGGCTCTGCCTCCCATGAACAAAGGGAAAATCCCAGTGGGGATGCAGGGGACACCCAGCAACTAAACCCCACCTGCACTTGGAGTCATGGCAAAGCTCTTCCCTACAACATCTTGCAAGTGACAGAGAAACTGACAAGGGCAGGTGCCATGCTTGACCTCATGCTCACCAACACTGAGAGGCTGGTGGGGAATGTGATGCTCCAAGGCAGCCTTGGCTTCAGTGATCACGAGATGGTGGAGTTTGAGATCCTCAGGACAGTGAGAAAGGCATGCAGCAAGCTCACTGCCCTGGACTTCAAGAGAGCAGACTGGCCTCTTCAGGAGCCTGCTCAGTAATGTTCTATAAGATAAAGCCCTAGAGGGCAGGGGAGCCCAAGACTGCTGGTTGATATTTAAGGATCACCTGCTCCAAGCTCAGGAGCATTGCATCCTGACAAGAAGGAAATGGGCCAAGAGGCCTCCATGGATGGATAAGGAACTGCTGAAGAAACTTAAAAGCAAAAAAGAAGCTTATAGAAGGTGGAAGCAAGAACAGGCGGCCTGATTGGACAGAGTTTTGGAAAACATGGTCTAGTGTGAGGCATCCCTGCCCATGTCAGGGGGGTTGGAACTAGATGATCTTAAGGTTCTTTCCAACCCTAACTAGTCTGTGACCCTGTGATTCTATGAATCCTGGTCTTTGACCACCTGGGCTAAGCTGAAATGATAATGCCTCAACAGGGAACAGGCCATTTTGGTCATATCATCTGTTGAAGGTTTACATAAGGATATGTGGGAGGAAAGGCATGGGATCCTGCTTAGCTCGACTGAAGTTGGATGGTTTGGAAGAGCTTTTCCGAGTGCTGTGCTGGGAGCAGAGGGAAAAAACAAGTGCTGTCTGAAAAAAGAAAAAAAGGACTCTCACTCCAAAACAAGCCAGCTGGCTTGCACGTGCAAGGTTTTCCATTTCTAGGGATTATAGTATAATGCAAAGCTATACAGGGTTTTGTTACAGGAGGGGGGAGAAGAGCTGAGGAGTGTGATTATCACAAGGAGCCAAAAATCAGAGGGTTGTGCACATCCTCCTTTTTTATGGCACCTTCCAAGATGTGCGGAATTCTGATCTGCTATATCCTGTTGGATCAAGCTTTGACATTGGAACCATAATGTTGGAAGGAAAACGCAGAAAAATTAATGATAAGTCATAGTTTCAATGAAAACCAAAGAGATAGCTATCCAACAGGATTAAATGAAAATCAGACCTGAGACTGAAGATATTTTTTTACATAAATTCTGGCCTGTTCAACATATCATTTGTTTCCCTCCTCATAGCCTGTTTGGAAGCAGCAACATGCGGAATTCATGTACTATTATAATGTAGAAGCAGAAGTTTGTTTTGTTTTGTTTTTTCTTTTTCATTCCCTGACTAAATAAGGCAAGAAAATTGTCCTGATATTAATGTTTGAGTCTGGAATGATTGTTGCTATGGGACAGAGAAGGAAGAACTACTCATTTAATGATATTATATGCCTAGACACTGTATCTGGTATAGAGCATGGTAAAAAAAGCGGTTTTTTTAAAGGGCAGTTTTTTAATGAAATTTTGATTTGTTCTAAGGGTCTTGTATTAATCTGGAAAGAAAAATAATCTTTGTTTAAACTTTTGTCTTCAAGTTTAGCTAAATTTCATACATTTACATCCTGAATTGTAAATCAATGTGAATATTGTTTTTATTGGCATCAGTAGTGATCTTCTAAATTCTGCTTTAAATGTGTTGCAAACCAAATGTGCATTCTTCTTTCTGAAAGAAATTAAAACATATAGCATCAATGCTATGTAGGTCTTTAAACCACTGATTTTGGATGTTACAGAAGGTAGCCTATCACTTAATTTTATAATATGAGTTGAGATTTTGCCAGCAAATTTTGGTCAGCCACAGTTAGCAAATGCATTACCCATGGAGAAAGTGGGTCTTCTGTGTGAGCACATCAGTTGTGTATGTACCTTTTTATCACTCTCCCTCTCCCATTCTTACTAAAGTCTTAGGTATTGGCATGATCTTGCTCATCCAGCTGCTGCTGGAACTAACACAGAACAGCCATTGGCACATGAGCAGGATCACATCTTTGTATGCTTTTTCCTAGATTATTGGCACTGTGAAAGCTTTAATAAAAAGAAGTGGGCAGGGTCATTTACTTGTCTTCCTAAAACCCATCTGGACTTTCTATTATAAAAGAAATAAGTAGTTTAAGTGCTAGCACTACACCGACAAGGAAGTTTTTTCTTGGTTGTATTTAAAAAGTCAGGAATAAAATACCTCACGTTTCATTTTATTGCAGGATATCTCAATGTGCTCTCAAATAACCGTTGGCGTGAGCGCTGGTGCAGAGTGAAAGATAATAAACTCATTTTCCACAAGGACAGAACAGATCTGAAGACGCACATTGTTTCTATCCCTCTCCGTGGCTGTGAAGTCATCCTGGGGCTGGATTCGAAGCATCCTTTGACCTTCCGCCTGCTCCGAAATGGGCAGGAAGTTGCTGTGCTCGAGGTGTGTTGATTGCTAATGGCTGTGACTTGTAGGAACACTCACAAACTGTATTAGAGAAGCACTTTCCTACAACTTGGCCATTCCAAAAAAAGAAAAAGCATCTTTGGAATAATATTGTTGCATGGTTGTATAATAAACACTGGAAAAAGAAGAGAAATATTGAGTTGTCAGCAAAGAGAGAACTGAAACTTAATGCAGTTCAGAAATCTTCTCAGTAAATTGCTTTTCTCCACACTGACCTTCCCCTCACCTGCTACTAAAATATCCCTGCTCCTTGTCTAGGCACACTTTTAAATCAGGGATATAATTACTTTGGGTAGATAGCTTAGCTATAATTAAATAATGGATCACTGTTGATGGGAACTCTAGAGCTATTAACTCTCATTTGTCTGCTACTTATGTGAACTCCTTTTATTCAGTCTGTATCTGTATTGAGGTAATTCTGCAGTGAGAAATACAGTGTGCCAGCAATCTGGTGAGTCTCTTGACACACTGCATATGTACATACTAGCACGCTGCTTTCATTAAGAAGGTCATAAATCCATCTCTTAGGTTGGATATAAGGAAGAAGTCCCTTACTGTGAGGGTGGTAAGGCATTGCAATGGGTTGCCCAAAGAAGTTGTGAATCCTCCATCCCTGGCAGGGTTCAAGGCCAAGTTGGATGGAGTCTTGGATGACATGGTTTAGTGCCGGGCATCCCTGCCCATGGCACGGGGGTTGGAACTAGATGATCTTAAGGTCCTTTCCAGCCCTAACTATTGTTATAGGAGGAGGCAACTTTTTGCTTTTAATGGCTGTATGGACACTTTGACAGTGTTGGGTTTCTGACTGCAGGTCACATCAATATTCATACCTTGCAACTAGGCCTGCTACATGTGAGCAGTTCAAAAAAGCTGAAAAAAAAATAGCAGTTCAAGGAACTGTAAAAGGCAATGAAATATTTAAAAAGAACAGGAAATTTGGAAACTGCCCGGTTTCCTCTCCACCCCCTCTTTTTTCCATTATTTATCTTGCTAATGTTTAACTTTTGAATTGGTGACTTGAAGGAAAATATGAAAACTTTGAAATTATTTTAATAGTATTCATGTCTTTACTTGTGCCATTATGGAAATGAATTCTATCATCTAGACAAATTTAGTGGTATTTTTCAAAAACTACATTAGAATACCTTCCACTATTTTGTTCTTTCTGCCCGTCTCCTCATTTCTACTTAACACCAACATTTTCCTTTCAGAATTCATGCAAACTGAAGGCCTCCAGCCTAGCAGAGGAAAATAATTCTGTTATAGCTTTCAATTTTCTTAAGTCTAAAATAAGCATGACTTGAATCTAAATCCGCTAGCCTTAAACAATTATTTTTCTTATTTTTTTAGAGATTGCCCACTTTGCATTGCATCATAACTGATGAGCACATAGCTTACTAAATATGCACTCCTTCTAGCAAAGAAGATTTAACAAGAAATCCTATGTTTTTAGGATTTTGGCAGAGAGAAACCAGAGCCTCTTGTAAAATATGGTAGCAATTTGTCAGCAAAGAAAAGAAGAATGTGCCTTTTTGCAATAATCCTTAGGTCGGTGGCAAGTAAAGACCTGACCTATGTTCTTACCCTCTCCTCACAGGCATCCTCCTCTGAAGACATGGGCAGATGGATAGGAATTTTGCTGGCAGAAACTGGGTCATCAACAGACCCTGGAGCTCTGCACTATGACTACATTGACGTGGAAATGACTGCAAGTGTCATTCAGGCTGCCAAACAAACCTTCTGGTGAGAGGCATTTCCAGTGCTCTAAGAATTTATATCTGCATGTTAACCCCGGTGCCAACACAGCTTATCAAAATCCACCTCCCCCATTGCCAGATACTGAACTTATGAAGTGTTTCAGCATCACATCATGTTAGATGTGTTTATGATTATGGTGTTGGCATCCTATAAAAGTTCTGTAAAAGATACGGACACTTCAACTTTACTCACATTTTTACTCCTTTTTGCAGTAAGTTTCCTCATCAAATGCTACATTTTAATCTTTTACTTCGCCTGAAGTCTTAGAAGTATCCCTGGAAGAGAACAAATATGCTGAAATATACAGCTACATAGTTCTTGTTTATCTATTGGCTGTATTTGCTGTACAGGATATACGAGCCAACATATACAGGATATATGGGCCAATATATGATGTACACTAAAAATGTATGACAAATTTGAGTCTTGGAACACCGTATTCTCAGTGTTTCCTTTTCAAGATCTTTATGATTTATTAAAAACTTCATCAAGCTCACCCCAGTCCAATTAAATTCTGGGTTTTAATTTTGGAGGTGGAAATTGGGAAGGTGTCTAAGGCACAGCACAGAAACTATTTAAATTGCAAAACAGTGCTGTGAATTCCCCATTACTGATTCCATGCTCATAAAAGTAATGCACACTCAGCATATATAGTGATTTACATGTTCAAATCAGGTTAGCATTAAAGCAGTCTTTGGTGGGAAAGACTGTCATTTTTCCTTGGGTAAATGGGGTTGTTTAGAAACAGGAGTGAAGGAACAGTTGGGAGAGTTGGAATGCCCTCACACGGAAGTTCCCTGTGGTTTCCCATGGTCAGAAAGTGGGTGGCCTGAGATGACAGCCTGCAAAGGTGTCAACCCTCGCTGCAAAATGAGACCCCAAACGCAAATTTGTAATGTGTGTGACTTAATACGTTAGAGAATCACATTCCATATGTGTTTTCCAAAAGAAGATTCTTCTGCTGTTGGCAAGGTATTAAAAGAGCTTTAAGGAGGGAAAACATGCAGCTCCATTCATTCAGGACCTGGTTTGAATGACTTCTGATAGAAATCAAAGTGACTTGGTGTTACCACAAGCCAAGTTTTGTGAAAAAACAGATAATTTTGATAGAATCAAAATGCACTTAGCTTACAAACTCATGTGAATATTTGTTTTGAAGTTAATAGGGCTCAAAAAGTTTATCCTGTGGTGACATGTATTTTTGCTTCAGTCAGCATCTAGCAATAACCACATTTAAGAAAGAAATAGAATGGAAACCTTTTCCCCCGAATACTTCATGGCTTTCCTTTCCTGAGCAAATGTGATATTAATTGGAGCCAAGTGAAAAAACATATGCAACTAGGCCACATATTAGAAAGGAATGTCAAACAACTTGCAAAATAGCAGAATTCCCCTATTACGAATTAGTTGAAATTCATTGGGTGTCTTTAAAAGGCTCTAAGAGCTTGTTGATAAGCAACTGAAGTAGCTGCTGATTTTCAACTACTCCTAGAAAATGAGGAGAAATTACAATGATACTGAAGTGTTAGTAAAATAATATTGCTGCCCTTTATAGAACGAATATCAGTATTCCAAATTAACTGCAGTTACCATTAAAGCTATGATTATCACACATTCACTTTGGATTATTGGTTATTCGTTTCCTGAGACTGATACTTTGCAAAATGATCAACTCTTCATTAATAGTGCCATCAGTTTTCTTCATCTAAATGGTTAGGTATCTAAGAAAGGCTGAAGGAAAAATGCTTCCAAGCAGGGTTTTTTCTATTTCCTTTCCCATCTAGCTGTTTCACAATACAATTAAATTGCACGAATGCATCTGTAAACAGGATTAATGAGGCTTAGTGAAATAATGCTTGTGAAGTGTTTGCAGATACTGAGATAAATATTAGTTTCCTTTGGTGGTGGAGTTTCTACAGACGTTATCAGATGTCATGAATGAATAGCCCAGTTTTCAGACCTAGATATTATGCATCACTCCTTTAAGCTACTTAAATAGAAAGAAGTACAATAGCAACTCCAAATGTGATCCTTCAGACTAACCAGAAACACTTGAGTAATTGGTGGTTTGGTTGGTGTTTGGGTGTTGGGGGTGTGGGGTGGGGGTGTTTGGGGTTTTTGGGGTGGGGGTGGTTTTTGGGGGGGTTGGGTTTTGTGTTTTTGGGGTGTGGGTGGGGGTTTTGGGTGGGGGGTGGGTTGTTTTGGGTTTTTGGGTGGGGTGGGGGGTTGTGTTTTTTGTTGTGTTTTTGGTGTTTGTGGGGGGGTTGGTGTGTTTTTGGGTTAATCTTTAACATACTGTGATACTGTGATACTGTGATACTGTGAGTAATGTTCTTTGTTAAGAGGAACAGTAAACAAATGCAGCCCTTTAGTAATATCTAATGAAGTGTGAAATATGATAATGTTAAAAACATTATTTAATCATGGAATTTATCTTGGGGTTTTGTTTGGTTGTTCGAAGTAAGAAAAGCTTCTAATTGTCTAACAGTTGTTCCATCTCTGCACTGCCCTGAAAGGCTCACACTGAACTGGGCAGGTTTGTCCCTCCTGTGAGCCCAGGTCTCCTGCAGCTCAGGTGAGCCACAGTTGGATGAGGTCTGTCTCACTCTGAATGAGAAATTCAACAGACTAGCCAAAAGAAAGCAACTGTTGAAACCACTGCATTCTTGAGCTCCGGCCAGCGCTATGGAAGACCCTCTCTACTTTAGTAGTGCTTTATCACATTTTATGAATGTCAGCACAGGGGCTGAATAGTTCCATTGTTTGGGATGGAAAGCTTTGTTTTCTCATTGACATACACTTGAAGCTATATGAATTATTTGGAATCTCACTGTATATCTCATTCAGTTTCATTGGTTTCTACAAAGGAAAACTCATCCTTGGGGTTATCATTGTTGGGCGTGATTCTGCCGTTTCCTGCCTTGTTTGATCTTGGCAAGCCCAAAGTAATCCATGATATCTTGCATGTGTTCTGCAGAACTGCAGTAAAACATGCTACAGGGTTGATTTTTGGGGGAGAGGGGAGGGAAAAAATAAATAAAATAAAATAAAACAAAATAAATCTTTTTTTGAAGTTTCCAGAGGACTCAGATATGCCATGTGAACCAAAGCAAGAATGAGCATATAGTGTATTTGCATGAGCAATTACCCAGACAGAGTTGGGAAGCATAGTGCCATTATGCAAATTCTATCCAGCCAAAAGTTTTGCTCTGGAAAAGAAAAATTCCCAGATTTTAAGAAAGTAATTATTCAGCAAGTTTTTTAGATATGCTAACTTAGAATTCATCAGAATTCCACTTTTTTTTTTCCTTTTCTTTTTCTGGATTTGATTCTTGTTTCTCCTAGTTCCTAAGTTCATGTCCCCCTGAGCGTGCATGCACCCAGAAACACCTGCTTCTCCCCAGTGCAGACAACAAGGGAACTTTTACGGGACACTGGGAAGCTGGTTTATAACAGCAGGTTCCATGTAAACATGCCACTGAGCAGTTACAGCTGTTGCCCTCTTGGCTTTCACATAGTTGTATCCCTACTGCAAGAATGGAATACAGGAACATATGTTGTAATACTGGCTGCTATCAGTGACATGTGAGTGGCAAAAGAGGGAAAACTATGCTGCGGAAAGTGAGAAAATATGTGCTTCCAGGCTCCATGATCAGATACAAGGAACATACCACTGATTCATCATTTAGAATTAGGTTTTAAGTGCTGGGTTTTATTGTATTTTCTTTTTTCTTTTTTCAGTTTCATGAACAGAAGGGTTATATCTACAAATCCTTATCGGGGAAGCACTGCCAATGGCTACGCCTGTCCGAGTGGAATGGCACTTCATTATGATGATGTTCCCTGCATAAATGGATCGGTAAGAATTGAATTTGCACAGAACAAACGGTTTGCATGTGTTGAGCGCATGGACATCTGAAAATTATATTGTCTAAAAAGCCCCACTGGGCAGTTTCCAAATGAACTCCCAGGTTTTTTTTTATTTGGGGCTGCAAACTTCTCACACCTACAGAGTATGAGGGGTGTGGGACATATTGTTTACATTAACCTGCACGTGAGCCAACGTGAGAAAGCAGTTGCCTGTAGACAATTTGTTGCCAAGTCCTTGAATATAATACTCACTTGAGGGGGCAATTTTTAGATCACATTGGACCTGTCAAAGTGAAGGGCTTACTTAGTTACACAAGGCATATTTTGGTGTCAGTCGAACAAAACCCAAATACTTCTTATTCCCTGGGCCTGCATTCCTCATAGCAGCAGGTACTGCCCACCCCAAAGGAGGACAACAGTGGTCACTTCCATCTTCATAAATTGATCGTAGGCAGATGTGTAATAGGGTTTAACACATAGTGGATTTTAACCCATGGCAGTACGTGGTACTCAGGAAGATTTACAGGGGAGCTACAACCTGTGTCAGCTCTTGGTTTGAGCTGCTTAATAAAGGCCTCCACTAAGGCTAAACTGAAGAGAAATTCAGAGTTTTAAAGTGCAAAGTGGACTGCAGGTTCAGTCCTCTGTCTTAGTAATGTCAGAAAGATGGTACAAAGCCCCTCTTGAGAACAACGCACAACCACGTGTGTGGTGAGTAGTCTGTATGTGTAGTTCTTGGATGTGCGGATGTGCTCATGCCGTTGTGTGAATAGTGTACTGCCACAGCCAGGATGGATTAAGGAAGGATATTTGGCAACTGAATTGGTTTCTTTTAAGATTAACTGAATGAATGACTGAGTTGAGCTTTCCATTTCTCTGAAAGGAAGAAAAAAAAAAAAAGAAGGAATAGTCTGTAGGTATTTTTGCTAGTTAGATCAGAATAATAATTCTCCAGCAAATAAAATGTAATGCTAGTGTACCAACAGCTGGTATTCACTAGAAAGACATATAGCCTGAAGAAAGAGAAAAACCCACCAGTAAAACACTCTTGGCTTCTGCTGTTAGGCCATATTACTTTTAACAACTCATGCACCAGATGTAATCCCACAGATTCATCTGTGTAGTCTGTGAGTATCCCTCTGTTAACACAGTCAGCTTGTGCCTTCTCAGTGCTACAGCTAACAAATGAAGGTGCAGCAAATAACTCAGAGAATCAGAGAATGGTTAGGGTTGAAAAGGACGTTAAGATCATCTAGTTCCAGCCCCCCTTCCCAAAGGGTGATAGGATAGTACCAGTTTGCTCATACAATGGAAAATGCACAGGACTGAGACTATGAGCTATGTAATGCAGCACTTCCTTTCCACACTGTGTCCTCCTCAGCTTTGTAAATAGTTTGACTCAAGTGTAAGCAATGAGCGTATGCTTGCTAAACACCAAGTACTTGCTATGGTCAAGGGAATTACTAATGTTTTAATATCACGTAGGAAGTTCTGCATGGTGTATTGTTTACTAACTGCCAAAGTGTGTGTGTTGCAGTGGGAACCAGAAGATGGCTTTCCTTCTTCTCGTAGCAGGAACATTGGAGAAGAAATGCTTTATGATAACGCAGGCCTGTACGATAACTTGCCGTCTCCAAAAATCTTTGCACGCTATCCGCCAGCTGACAGAAAACCCAATAGGTTATCATCTACTGACAAACTCTCCTCTAACCATTACAAATACCCTGTCTTATCCAATCTGTCTTCTGCTCAGTCTGTCACTAATACCTCTGCTGTGGGGAGGGGATCTGGCTCGCAGGTACTGTACTATTTAATATTTCACAAAGCTTTTTGGTTTTTGGATGTTCTGCTTATCTGGTTGTTATCTTAAGGGCACTGAGCTGTTTTTGTCCCTTAGTGCTAGGGACAAAACTGAAGCACTTGGAGTTTAGGCATGAGCACAACTGCAAATGCAACTTAAGTTTGCTAAGCTGTAAAATCTGTTGTGGAAGTATTGGTGCCTAGGAAAGGCTTTCCTCACAAGTTCTTGATGATTTACAGATTGTGGATAATAACAAAAAAAATAGATGTGACCTTCTAAACCCAGCCTGAATGCATATCTAGCTGCGTTCTGTTGGCTTAGGGAGTAATGAGAAAAAGGAAAGTGAAGTATGACCTCGCTGTGACAGCAAATTTGCCTTTCTAGAATTATACTGATCTGTATATTGTATATACTATGTTATATATATAGTGAATATACGTATGTATCATTACATGTATTATAGATATATGCACTAAATTATATCGTATGTAGTGTGTATATACCATATTTAGATATACTGCCTGTTATTTTCTGCCTGTGAAAAAAACCTAAGCTTATGTCTATGCTGCTTTCTGAGGGTGGCCACAGAAAGTGTGGCTCTTCCCAAGGTTCAGTTCATTGCAGGGGAGTCCTCTAAATGGACTCCCCTTTGGCATGAAATGTGCTGTTTCTAGTAATCTTTAGAGCTTGTCTGACCATTATGTGAAGGGCTTTTTAAAGTGAGAAACCCTTGAAATTAGTAAGTAGAGGTTGTATAAGAGGAAATTGATGTGTTAACTCCTAACATTTAAAGATGTGTAATAATTATATTGTTTTTAAAAAAAAACCTAAACATGTAGCACAAGTATAGAGTAAATAAGAAATAATGTTAAATTTTTGTGTGGCAAATCCCATTGTGTTTTTTCTGTATGAAATTAACTCTGACAACCTTGTGTTTCAAGAAGCTTTACTGTATAAAATTATTCAAAGGTACAGTTTTCTGCCTAACAATGGCTTTCTTAATACAGTAAATGTAAGAGATTTAAATAACTTGGAGACTGTGATGCCACCAGTGATGGGGAGTTCATCCCCTTGTTTTTCTGTGATTGCTGGTGTGGCTCCTGCTGAGCAGGAAGCTAACAGAGACTACATCTCTGGAGGAAACACCATCTCCAGCTCAATCAATGCACTCTATTGAAGCTCTCTGAGCAGGTGTCTTTTTGTCAAGCTTTGCCCTTGATGCAAGGGTGATTGTAATGCTAGTGGCACAGGAATAGCTGGAGCCCATTTGTACTTTTGTTTTCAAACAGTTTAAAGGCAAGAAGCCTCCTGTGACTGCTAATGGCATCACCGGAAAAGGGAGAACTCTAAATAGCCAGCCAAAGAAATCTGAATCGGTGTCATGTGTGAAGCGCACTGCATCCAGTAAGTATCATTCCTCACTGCTGCCTCACTTGTGAATGGGGTCATGAGGCTACCCAGAATAGCTGTCATATTAGCAAACAAGATAAAGAACCACTGTGGTTCTTCTGTGGCTGAGAGGTTGAGCAGAAGCTACCCGCTAAGAGTTTGAAAGGAGATATTGTGTGCATTGGTGACTCATTACTACTCCAGCCATGCCCCAAGATAAAAGGCTGTCATGTCAGGAATGATAAATATGAAATGTGGACCAATGGCTGCAAAGTCAAGAGGGCAGCAAGAAAACAAAAAAGGGTAACGAATCTTCATTTGAGGCAAAGAATAACTCTGTATTCCCATTGGATGAGGAGGATGAGGAGCTGGTGGAGACATGAGAACATTATGTTGCCCAAAAGTGAACTTACTTCTATCACTTATGAAAAAGAAAATTGTATAACACAGTATAACAAAATAACAAAGACAACCACACAGCCCAAAAGCATTCTCACAGAGAGGAGATTACAGTTAATGAATGGCATGTTCAGAAAGAGGATTCTTCTGGGTAGGTTGATTGCTTCTAGGACATTCCCAACAGGGATTGGTTTGTGTAAAGAAGACAAGGCCAAAAAAGTGCTGTAACTGTATTTTTTAAATATGGAGTCAAAAGCATGGCTTCTTCTAGAGAAGGGATGAATGTGTTTTTTTAATCCCATTATGAATTTTTAAGAATTCATGGATTTAATGGCAACAAGAGAAATTTGGGTTAAGCTTTAGGAAAAAAAGTATGTCTTTCTAACTATGCAGGTCAGTTGGTACTAGAAAAGATAGTTGTGGGAGTAAAGGCATCTCGGTTACCAAAGACCGACTAAAGCTAGTTGTCAGGAATGGTTTAGTGTCCTTGAGTTTCCTTTAGATATGCAGACAGACAAAGTGATCTGTTAGCTGGCCTGTTTTCTTCGAGTCTGCAATTGGAGCAGAGGTATAGAGCGGCTGTGATATAAGCTAGACTACAAATACATGTGAACCATGAAATGAAAGCATTTATATGGCAAATTACAAAAAGAAAACTCTCAAGTATCAAAAAAGTGAGAACATGTTTATATTGTTTTATGTCTGGTGAAAAAAGACGTGCTTTAAGCACTTGAAGTAGGAATGGAAACCAGGCAAAAGGACAAATGTGTTTTTCCTCTGACCCCTTCCAATTAAAAATCAAGGGTTCAGAACTAAAGAGGAACCTCCTTTCCTTCCTGTGAACTACAGACAAAGGCAAGGCCAGTTTTGAAAACCAAGGTACTGTAAGGTAATTGGTACTTCTCATCTGACCCATGTAAAAGCGAAAACACTATCCTTTATCGTTTCTGTAGCTATGCTGCAGAACTCAGCTGGAATCATGGCCCTTGAGAAAAATCCAGTGGAAGAAGGATGGCAAACTGGCTTCTCAAGCCATGGCATACTTTGTATGGTGTTCAGTCTCAGGGAATAGTTTAGAGTTTTTCTGTTAATTTGGGCTATAAATAACTAGAATCTAATGCATACAGATGCGGAGCAGTACAAATATGGCAAGAATCGTGTGGAGGCAGATGCGAAGAGGTTACAAAGCAAAGAGGAGGAGCTGCTAAAGAAGAAAGAGGCACTCCGGAATAGGCTGGCCCAGCTCCGAAAAGAAAGAAAAGATCTACGTGCTGCCATTGAAGTCAATGCTGGTATGAGGTTCTATTTTGTGCTCGACTCTGCCCTGGATAGGCTTAATTGTCCAAACAGCTTTGCATTGTGTGCTGAAGATAAGCCACTGCAGGAGATTTGGTTTTGATGCTAAACAATACTGTGTGATGTCTGTATTTGCTTTCTGAATGTAATGTAAATATTGCATAAATATATAATGTGTATGTATGTATTTATACTATGTATCTATAGATGTATATACTTATATACATTTTTTTTTATATGTGTGTATATATGTACATACACACGAAATTACACTGATGTGGATTTCAGACAAGCAGAACATGGGAACAGTTTTATTGTGACTGGCTAACTATATTGTGATGACATGGAAAAATAACAGAAAAATACTGATTTGAAATGAGACTAGAAATCTTGCTAAGGCACCTGAAAGAAAATATCTTATTGCAGTTGTTACATGTTTTACATTAAAAAAAAAGTTGTTTTTGCAAAGTAGGTAACTTTTTTGTGATGTCTTTGACATTTAGAGACCTTGTTCCTTATGTTTTTAAAGAAAATAATTTCTGCAATTGTCAATTTAAGCTTCTTGCTAAAATAATAACATTCCTGTGGGTGACAGGCAGGAAGACCCAAGTGATTCTTGAAGACAAGTTGAAGAAGTTGGAAGAGGAGTGTAAACAGAAGGAGGCTGAACGTGTAAACTTGGAGCTAGAACTGACTGAGGTGAAGGAGAGCCTTAAGAAAGCCTTGGCTGGTGGCATCACACTGGGCTTGGCTATTGAGCCCAAATCAGGAACATCAAGCCCACAGGTATGCAAAGGCATTAAAAGCTCAAATCCCAGTACTGTCGTCTGGGAGTACTCTGTATTCTCAGTTCCGTGAAATGAGTGGGAACTGAGTGTTCTCGAAAGGTTTATTAAGCCCAGGAAACAAGAGCAGAACTAACTAAATGCCTTTCTGCGTTATTTGCATTCTTTACCTAAATCTCGTGTACTTTCTACAGCAGCAGGGAGCAGGTAGACATGGGAATCATAGGCAGTGTGTGTTAGCATAACATGCAAAAGCTGACACCTCATTGTCCTCAGTGATTGTAAAACTGCATGAACTGAGATTTTGTTCCAGTCCAGCAAGATTTAAATGTACCAAGTCATTGTGCAGTGATGGAGACTACTTGTGCTTTGCAAGGGCTGCATCTCACGTGTTCATAATGGAGCATGGCAGTCCTGGCTTATGCTATCCATCTGTGTCAGATGCAGCGATCAGAAGGATCAGAGAGGAATGTGTCCATTCCTTCAGATAACCCAATGTTGTTTGATCACAGAAAACAAACTTTAATTGTCATCACAAAATGTGTACTTTGTTTTGTTTTCTTTTGCACTAATGTCTTTTTTATTTATCCATCTTTATTATGAATATGGTCTCCTTTAAAAACATCCTACAGTTCTAAGTGTAGATTGAAAATATTGCCCATGTGACTACTTGAAGGAAACTCACTGTAGGCTTTCCACTCTTCATTAGTCTCCAATTTTCAAGCACCGAACTTTGGAAAACTCCCCAATCTCCAGTTGTGATACCAGTGATACTGAATGCTCAATACCTGTGAACAGCGCAGCAGCTCTAAAGCGACCTCCCTCCTCAAATAATTCTCCATGTCGAGGCCATGTCCTTCGAAAAGCAAAGGTAAGAACACTTATGTTTAATTTTCTCTTTTTGTCCTTTTTCTTACTCCTTTAAAAAAATTTATTTGCTTGTGGGGAAAAGGAGAGAGGGCAGCTAAATATAGTAGATAATGAAAAAACATAATCTCAAATGATTTGGTTTTCTGGCACATCCCGATGTCTCCATTTCCTCTCCCCTTAGCTTGTTTAACCTCTCATTAACATTGCCCAGCCCATGAATTACTTCTGCTATGCCTTATGTGAGAACTTCCTCCATCCTTTTCATGGGCATCGCCTGCTTTTTCTGCCAGTTAGCCAGATTCATTTGAATTCAACAAAGAACAGTCACACTCAACATAATAGAATTGTAGAATCAGAGAATAGTTAGGGTTGGAAAGGACCTTAAGATCATCAAGTTCCAATCACCCTGCCATGGGCAGGGACACCTCACACCTAAACCATACGGTTGGCTTTCTGGGCTGCAAGTGCACACTGAAGCCGGCTCATGTTCATTTTCTCATCGACCAGCACCCCCAAGTCCTTCTCTGCAGGGCTGCTCTGAATCTCTTCTCTGCCCAGCCTGTAGCTGTGTCTGGGATTGCTCCGACCCAGGTGTAGGACCTTGCACCTGTCAAAGTTTCAGTTCTATAAAACCTGCTTAAACAGGTTAGGTTTCAGTTCTATTTAACTTGGAAGTTAGATGCTTGATTTTCAAACCTGAAGAAGGATTCAAGTGCTCTAAAGCTTATCCAATTATAATCTAATTTGTCTCATAAAGATACCATCTCTAATGGTACACTTCATCTTACATTTCCATGTTAGCACAGGGAATGTGGTCTAGCAGAACACAATTCTTTCTTACAAAATGAATGTGGATTTGTGCTACCCACTGGACAGGCACATTAAAGCCAGCCATTTAATCTGTGCAGTGGGAGAAACCAGGGCACTATAAAAACCTAAACATTTTTGGTGAAAGAATACTTTGCAGCTGTAGTACATTTTTTATGCCCAGTATACACCATACAGGAAAAACCCTGCTGTGCTGTTTGATATTGCTGTGCTTTGGATAGCGTGATAGCTTGGTCATGCTCTTTTGTAGAGGAATCTTGGATATAAGATTAGGCTAATTAAAAAGGATATGGAGCTACTAAGCATAATTCCCATCCTGGGAAAAACAACTCAAAGTATCCAATTTAGCTTTAACAGCTTTTTCCTAAAACCTCATGCACTAAATACTGAGTGAAATTTTGCTGAATTAGATAGCGCAGCACAAGCTGTGCTCAGCCCATTTGCAAGGAGCTGCAGCCAAAGTCTGCCATCAGGTATGCATCTGCAGCACACCCCACTACTGGGGGGGTAGGTAACTGTACATGTGCGAGGGTGGAATTTGGCTCTCAATTCTTTTGGCCTTTTGCAGTTACGAGTGAGCCAGGCTTTATAGATGTGGCTAAGGGCGTCACACGTGAGTATCCCAGAGCAGAACTTGGCTCTCCATGCTTGGATGTCAGTGCAATATGTGGGAGTGAAACAGATTTCACGTCTGTGCTTGCGCTTGCATCTTCAGCAACTGGCAAATCTCCCAGTGTTATGAGGGAGTTGTATAAGCGTTCAAAATGTCAGATTTTAATTCCCTCCCCCCCCCCCCCCTCCCAGTATGGATTTGAATGAACTGAGTGCCTCCCTTCTTGCTCTTTCCTTGCACGAAGGTGCTGAGTCTATCACCAGCCAGCCTTGTGTTCGCAGCCACCCTCACATCACCACTGTGCTAATGAGCCCACAGCACTGCACTGCTCTTCTGCTAGGGTAGAAGCACCTGAGACAGTGGGTTAGGAAGCTGCTTCATCAAAATCTCTCTCCTCTCTGATGCACTGACATAAGAAGGAAATAGAGAAGAAAGTGGACACATTTAGGACATACCCATACTGTACATATACATATATATGCATACTGTTATAACTTTTCTGTTTGTAACTTGTGCTTTTATTATTTATTTTTTTTAGAAAGTAATAACACATTTTTTAGAAGCCAAAAAGCATTTTAATTGCAATTTTGTTAATCTCTACTTGGCTGGAAATGGTGACTGTATTAAAATGTGGAAAACTATATTAGGCATTAGCATTCCTAGAGCAGTAAACTGGCCCAAATATCCTTGCTATACAAGAAAAACAATTATTTAAACATTTCACATTTCAAATGAAGTACTAAGCCCAAATTGTTATGTGCAGGAAGGAAGCGGCAATGATTGTTTCTGATTTGTTTTCAAAACTGGTGGACTGGTGAATGTCAGCAGCTTACGTTTTGTTTATGTTAAGGGACTGGAAAAGAAAATGAGCTCTCCCAGTTTCCCAGCTTCCAGTCAGGCTTTCAGTGTTGACTTAAACGTTCTTTTATTGGCATGAACCTGCTGGAGAAATGGAAACAAAGAAAAATATCCTTCTGCACCTGCAAAAGAGGCTACTGCTTTCAAGTCTTATTTAACGCTCAAGAAAATTCTCCTCCTGGTTGCTTAGCCAAGTACTTCCTTTATAGCTTTGGTAGTGTGTACATAGGGGATATACATTAATAGACTTTTTAAAGCAATCTAGTTTTTACCAGTACTGTGTTTTAAGGTTAGCTTTACCATAATTTCAAGTGTAAAATGGAATATGTTAAATATATTGTGTTTTAATAAAAGTACTATTTAAATGAAGGAATAAAACCCCCAAACCCACAAGACAAAAATTAAATAAATTATTGTCTACCTGCTTAAACCCAAGGTATTTTATTCTTCTATTGCTAAAGCAGCCACCAACTGTGACCTTTACTGCTGCTTTACAATGGTTGACGAGGTGTCATGGTTATGCAGCTGTTGAGCCAAACTAATGCTGTTACTGCTTTCAACAGGCAAAACAGATATTTACATGCATAAGTAATGGTTTTCAGTCACAGCTCTTAAATGTTATGGAATAAGTGTTAAATTCTGGAATTCAGGTTGGGAGCCAAGTCAGAAGGCTGCCTGCAGAGTAGCTCTGTGGGAATCTGTAGACCCCAGTGCCTGGCTAGGAGCAGCTGGGCAATAGGTCCATGGGGATTACTTTAGCTGGAGGCCAATTCTGTTGTATCTTCATTAGTTCCTGATGGCTGTAAGTGTGTGATCCAGGGAGTAGGTGCAGTGTGGATGTCCTTAGCTGAGCTCATCCTGATTCAGCTCCTAAATACTGTTAGGAAATACTTTAGGTATCACTCAAGTTTGATTTAACTGGGTGTTTAGCTATTGTGATCCCGTAGACTTCACTTGTGAAGCAGAAGAAATGGCAATAAATGGATGAGCCATGGGTGAAAGCATTATAGATTACATTCTTTGATGTGAATGGTAGGTGTCACTGTCCTCAGCTAACATGTGGGGAAACTGAGGCACAGAAAGGCAAAGTGATTTAACTTGACAAGCAATACCTCAACTTAGATTATGTATATAGGAAACAAATGCAATGTAAACTAACTTGTTTTTCTTTACCCTGCCTGTAAGTCTCTCTGCCTCAGTAAGTTGTCCTTTTTAGGCACAGAAATGTATGTCTGCCATGAGTTTAATAATAAAAAATTGAAAAGTAGTAAAGCAATCACTTGTTGTCAGCTGTGACAGATACCATACAACTATAGAATGGTTTAGGTTGGAAAGGACCTTAAGATCCAGTTTCAACTCCCCTTCCATGGGCAGGGACACCTCACACTAGACCATGTTGCCCAAGGCTCTGTTCAGCCTGGCCTTGAACACTGCCAGGGATGGAGCATTAACCACTAAATCGAGTGCTTCCTGCTGTCTCATGCAAGTAAGTTAGAAAGTCCTAGATGCAAAATCAGCCTGTCCTTATCCAGCTCCAGCTGAGTACTTCACACCAACTGTGGTGTGTGAATCTGCTCCATAAACACCCTTTGCACAAAACAAACACAGCTTATTTGCACTGCAGTAGAAAAAAGTTGCTGAATATAGCTGCAGAGGGGTGGAAGCTGTGCACAGACACTATCAGGACATACTTGTTAGCGTTCCCTAACTAATTTCTGGGCAGAAGGCTGGGTACAGCAAAATTAATGGAAAAACTGTTGCTGACCTCAGCCAGCTTAGTAGATCTGATGACATCAGTAGAATATCCTGATTTCTCTAACATTTTCCGTATCTTTTTCTTCCCCCTCTTTCCAGGAATGGGAGATGAAAAATGGAACATAAACATATCAAAACCACTCACTTCCTGTAAAGGCCTTACCTAATATGGACCAAGACATAGGCTGCAAAATACTCATCTGAAAGGCCGTATCAAGCGATACAACATAAGAGGTTTTATAATTCTGTTAAGTTGATGGTAGCTTGGCGCTAATTTGCCTGTATTCCCTCTACTGTATTGCTGTGTAACTATGTGTGCCCTTTTTATTAGCTGTAACTCTATTTCCAATGTCACTGGTAAAGAAAAAAATGAAAACCAAAAGAACCAAACCAACCACAGTAATTTAAAAGGATCATAAAGTCACACTTGAAAATTCTCTTTGCTAGAACAGCATTGACTGGCGATATTAACTGAACACCACTGAAGACGAGTGCATTAAGATTGACATGAAATCATAACTCTCATAGGTTAAAACTGACTTTTGAGGTCTGCCACAGAGATGGCTGAGCAAAGTGTTGCTCATTGGCAGTCTCTTTGCAGTTAGCTGTTTGCGTGGCAGAAGAAAACTGAAGAATGTGTTCACAGAAATGGCATGGCTTGCTTGGTCAGGAAGACAGGAGCTCTTCAGTGCCGCTGTCCTCTACGCTGGTGCAAGACCATGGGATGACACGACTCAGCTGTGAATCATTTCATACTTTGTAGACAGATGTTTTTGTCATAGGGAGATAAAAAGCTGCCAATCTTTGAAAAAAACCCATGCATTTTAGTACATTCTCTTTCTTAGTATTTTGAAGTACCAGTCATTTTCAAAGGTCATGTTGTTGAACTGTGACTTGTTCCTGATTTTTTTAAAAGGCAAACAGATATTTTTAGATACTCGGTCTTTTCTATACTTTTTGAAAAAGAGAAAGCGTAATTGAAATTAATCCTCAACAGATAACAGCAATTCAGAATAGCTTATGCAGTCAGTCTTGTTTTGTTTTTTTATAATATAGTATTGTTAAACTTGAGTTATAGAACACTGCTGTACTTAGTTTCCATCACTTTTTCAGACCTCAGCTATTATTTTTGAGGAAAATGGACTGAAAAGATGGTTATTTCCAGACTCTTTTATACACGATTTCACAAATAATTGGGGATTTTTCTCAGATGGGTATTCACTTCTGTTTGCTAGGAAACAGTGTCTTGTGGCTTAGTCTGTAAAATGATAAAAATCTGTTCTTCTTTGTCTCCATCCATGTCACTTCTGAGAACTTACATGCAGTAAATTGCCAACTGAAGTCCTTCAAAATCTCAAGATTGGCTTTAAAAATCAGGAGAGAGAGAGAGAGGGAAAAACACATATAATTAGTTGGGTTCTTTTAATATTTCCTCTGTGGGTTTTTGTTTAAGCCTTTGGAGAGCCTTTAATCACATTCTCAAGATTTTTCCCTTCTTGACTTTGAGGACTAGAAAATGACTTTAATTAAAAAAAAATAAAATACTACTCAGATTTGAGGTAATCACAGCTGTTTGGGCTGGAGATCATTAGTTAAGACTTGCGATTAAAACAACAGAAGTTGGCAAGACAGTAGTTATCAAGGATCTATGGCCCAGCCTACAGTTTGCCTCTTACCTTGAGGAATAGCTGTGTGTAACTCCTGAAGGGTACACTGAGATTCTCAGCTGAGCTGGATGTCAGAGGACCTCCCACAGGAGCTGGTGGCATTTGAAAGCAAAAAGCCATCAGAAAGACCTGATAGCTTCTAGAATGCAGGGCTGTGTGCTGGTCCCAAATGCAATTAGTGCCAGGGATCCATTAATATCAGCAGAGTAGAAATGGAGTCCAATATGAGAAAAGACTTTTTGCCTCTTGGGACTATGCTTTGTACAAAGTGCCACAGGAATGCAGATACACTAGGGAAGCAAAGTGTCAGTGTGGTTTTCACTGAAAACAGGATCTTTTTATATATTATTTTAGGTCATCTGCTTACTTACTAACTCTATAAGTAGAAGGCACATTCTGTGCTGTATGACTGTGGACTAAAGAGTATCAAGTTCCCATAAATATTAGCAGAAACAAATTTGAAGCAAAAGTAAGTTCATTTAGGCTTTTTATTTCAAATTAAGTTATTTATTTGTATATTTCAATAAATATTTAATTTATATCTGTACATATTTATGATGCCAATTAGGCTTCTAGTCAATGTTTGCAATGATGTAACAGTTGCCATTAAGAAGTGGTCCAGCATCAAGTAATGAAGAGTAGTCAAAAGCCAAATCACTTGTCTTCTTTACCCAATATTGTTACTCTATCTTCCACCCCTTATATCCCATTGAAACAAAAAAATCCTTTTCAAGAATAGGTTTAATTCATGCCTGAGACAGAAGTGTGCAAACAAAAATTATGGCGTGTTGGGCCATGTTCACAAGCCCAGCCCCGGTGCCAGAGCCTTCTGCTCTACCATAGATGCCGATTGCCCTCAGCACCTATAGTACCCTTGGCACCCATACCACCCACTGCAGCAGGCAAAATTAAGCATCTTCTGCCCTTCCTTGAGCAAAGGCTCCATAAAGCCACCACGGCCCCCAACCTGGCACATACTGTAATTGTATGTCTCTAATGTGTAAGTGCACTGGTACCATCGCAATTTGCATTAGTGACATGTCTATGTAACAGCCAAAGATTTCAAAGGAGGAAAACAAAAAACCTCGGGAAAAAATAACCTCTCTATAGACCACATTTGGTGCTGTGAAATATACTCTGTTTTCTTGAAGAGCACTGTTGCTGCACAATTTTTTTATAGAAAGCAACAGTTTGTATTTTCACCAGTTTTAGATTTCACGATCACCAGGCAAAGTCATCAATAGAGCAGCATGACTTTTGTTTTAAAGGAAAACTCTTGTATTTTAAACCATTTCTATGTCTTTTAAGGAAATATTACACTTGTGCTTCCTCAACAAACTCCTGTTAACTGTACCAGGTGCTTTTTTTTTAATTGTTTGGGTTTTTATTATGGGTGATGCTTTTTTTAAAAGAAAACAAATCATAACATTGGGGGGGGGTCAAATATGTTTTGTTTTTATTGAGATGATTGTGGCAATTTGATTTTTCAAATGAAGAATTACTTACTTTAGGATCGAGTTTTGTTTAAAAAGACACTTTCGAATTAATTGGCCCAGGCTGTATGTTGTAAGATAATGTTCTCATATTAAGAATGTAATTATTTCCTTATTGTATTTTTTAAAAAAACAAAATCATATTTAAAAAAGAAAAAAATCTCTGTGAAAAAAAAAAAAGCATGAAAGAAACATGAAAAAAAGTTTTTGTTTTATTTTTGTTATTGGATATGTTGGCAGTGCCCATTATAATTGACTGTAAATATAGTCTTTCTACTGTATTTCTCAATGTATTTAAGTTTTTTTGGCACACATTCATAGAAACTTCTGTTTAAAAACAAAAAAGAAAAAAAGCCTCCAAAATAGACCCACCTTCAATGTGTGTCTTAGTAGCTTCAACTAACTTTATGTCTTTCTAGTTTATCCTTCAGAAAGTCTTGCAGAGTGTGAAAAAAGACTGGCACCTGATTGACAGGCGCGACAGATCCAAGACCATTATTAATAAAAATACCTGTCAAAAAAAAAGAAGTACTTGCATTGTTATTTCTTAGTATTTGTCAGTGTAATAAGTAGGTGACGCCTTAGCAGGACACCCACAATAGTGATCCTCAACCAAGTTCCATTCTCCCATGGCAGTCAGTTGAAAAATACTTGGACAGGTCATAATTAGTATGTTTTTGGTATCAGTTCTGTTCCCATTTAACTGTGCAATGACTTTCTGCTACTTGAAGGAGTATAAGGGCTTGCCCAGCAATGGCAGATGGAAATTCAACGTATTTAGAGCTCATAGCAGAAGTTACTGCTGAGCTTGTGTTACTGTTATCAGTCTGCTTAGATGTCAACGACATCAATACTGTAAAACATAAAATATTCACAATTACCCCTAAGAAATTAAAGTGGATCAAAATCAAACTGAGCTAATTACTAGGCTACTTAACAGTGAATGTAGCAATTCTTATAGATGACTGACAGATGAAATTGAGAAGTGTTAAGTCATAATTACTCCTTGCTGCTTTTCTTAGATTTGGCACTTGCTCCCATTACAGTAATATTATTACTAAATGTCATGCTTAAGTAGAAAACACATTTGGTTTTACTAGACTCAAAGAAGCAGTATTATAAAGTAATCTAATTGGTTTCCTTTACTCACAACCTCCTTGACCTCAGGAGAAAAAGGTACTCAGCATTTGTAAAACCTGTCATGGTAGTATAATAGGAATTGTCTCTCAAGTAGACACAGCTTTTGTCCACTTTATAACTCTTCACTGCCTTTTGTCAATTAAAAAGCCTTCAAAAGCAAAGCAAATTATTAGTATTTTTCTGTGTCTGTAGAAAAGACATATATAGGACATGTTGTATAAAAATATATATTTAGAATAGTTCTACTATAGAATACCATTTATTATTACAGGAAATAACATATATGCAAAAATTAGAAGACTAATACCTTAAGTTACTTAGGCTCATGGTCTAAAAAAGCCTTAAAGAGCATCATAGGAGTTTTTGTGTAAGCTGCATTTAATATTTAGTCTAGCGGGTTGCATCCCAAAGGAATTCGATATGAAAGATTCCACCAACACCTGACTTACACTGTTGTGTTTTTTTCCTGGCTGTGGGCATTCACATTGTAAGCGCTGCAGTGCTTTAATGCTAAGTTCCTTTTAATGCTAAGAAGTTCCTTTTAGATATTCTTTCTGAGTCTATGCATAGGTTGAACACCATCAGACCCTTGTACTTAAGCACAGGGCCTTACGAAGAAGGGCTCTTGGCTGGAGAATGAATAGTGGCAAATGTGACACTATTTTTTTAATGAAGAAGGGTAAAAAAGACAGGGAACAAGGACTTTTACAGCTGTAATGGGCGAAATGATAGATGGTATAATAAAGAGGTAGTGAAGAGACTGAGAAATCACTGTACTGGGGTAGAGTCAACATATGTTTTATACTGGGGTGTCATCCCTCACAAAGTGCTGTGAGGTCTGTGGGGTGGTTAGTGAGCATCCAGGAAAACAACATATTCTGCTTGGATTTCTTCAACATGCTTTTGATGTGGTCTGTCACTAAGGAAGCTTAAGAAGCTACTGGAGAAAAGCAAAAGGCCCAATAGGATAAATAATGGGTTAGTAAACAAACAAAAAAACAGGGCAACAATTTTCTGTTTCAAGTGGTTTTGGCCTATTCAGCCAGCCTTGGGGTGCCACAGAGCTGGAGTCTGAGCCTTGTGCATATCACAAGATTCAGAAATAATTGGAAAAAACAGAAAAAATTATTGTTGCTAATATAGTCAGGAGAGTAACACTAGAACCCAACTGCAATGACTTGCAGAAATATCTGTCACAACTTCAACAGCAATTAAAACATCAGAAGAAATTGAATATAAAGAAATTTAGAAAGAGTTGCCTGTAGTAAGAAGAAAAAAACCCCAAACCAACAAAAACCTTCCCAAACCCCCAATCTAGACACTGTTTAGTGCCAAAATAGTTAGGTTCATGTATGGCATAGTAACAATAATTAGGGTGAAAAAGCCCTACAAAACACAAAAACTGAAACACAACAAAAAAACCCTGGCAAATATTCTGTGGTCTAAAATACAGCAAATAGCTCTAGACCCTGTCTGACATGCACAACTCACACAAACAAGTGGTAAAAATCCCAAACCACCCACAGAAAAAAGAAAACCCTCCATCAGAGATGGAAGGATCTCTGATACTGCCATCATCTGATTTAGCACCTATAGAACATTACCCAAGTATGGGCACTGACTGTCGTATATTGATGAACTCATACGGGTGAAGGTACAAGGGCAAGAAAGAAATCAAAAAACTTAGCAGTGCTCCCATATGGGAAGAAATGTTATTGATATTACATATTACAATGAAATTCAAGGCAAAAGCAAAGATAAAGTCTCCTCAGTGTAAAAAAATACAGTCTTGAGGAAGGAAGAGAATATTTTATAATATGTTATGCAAATCAGTAGTAGAATGGAGAAAGAAATAGCCCCTGTCACTAACAGTACAAACTCTGAGGATGTTAATGAGGCAGATTTGAAACAACTACAGAGGTACTTTCACTCAGTGGCCAATTCAGCTATGGAACTTGCTGCCACAGAAATTCACAGAAGTTAAAAGCTTCCACAGGTCCATAAGCAATGAACAAATTCACGGCAGAAAATAATTACTGAAGGCTATCAAGAACCAAGCTCCTACCCCTGAAGCAGAAAGATCTGCTCTGGGGTGGATGGAGGCTGGAAGCACACACTGGGTAAGTAAGTGTCCTCATGTGCTTCTCCTGTTCTCCTGCCATTATTGCTATTGCTAAATGAATGAAGCTGTTTTCTTTTATAGATGACTATTTAACGTTTCCCACAAGCAGTTATAAAAGCATTCTCTCCTACAAAATAACGTATCACATTCTTTTCAATGTGAGTTTTAAAGCAAGCATCTGTCCTAAGATCAAGACAATGCAGTACCACTCCTTTGCAATGCGTTAGATAACTGAAATAATTAAATTACACCATAGATATGCATCTTCAATAATCTCTCCTGATGGCAAGAAAATAATTTTCCTATTAGACTTTGTGAAATTATAGCTCAGTATAATTACAGCTACACGGCCCTGCAGTGACCTTAAGTGAAAAGCTTCATTCCTGTTTTCATTATTAAGTTTTAAGTAGGCTGATAATTGCTGTCACTGAATTATTCCTTGGTGTTATTACTTTTTTAACTTGTTTTTTTAGCATGAACTGCTCCTTCTGTTTTTTTTTTCGAGGTCAGCTTTGGTGTGATGCTGTAATGACGAGAACAGATCCCTTTATCACATCAAAAATACACTGAGCAGCATTTGTCTCATTTTGCTTCAGCTTTTGAAACCATGAGGGTCAGAATACAGTAACATTTTCACCATAGCAGCTGGATTCACATGAAAGCAAAGCATCGTTCAAGGCATAAATCACAAAAAGAAAAAATGGAAAAGAAATCTGTGCCTTAATGGAAAACAGGAAAAAATACTGGCTGGTGTTTATGACTCAGAAGTTCTATTATAGAGACATAATTTATGATGATGTTGAAACCAGTTAGGCTTCAAAATAGGGTAGCAATTAATATGGCTTTGATGAGGACAGAAAAGGAAACAAGTGAAGTGATTATCTTTTTTTTTTCTTTTTTTTTCCATGGAAATTGGTTTCTGAAATAAAGTAACCCTTCAGGTTAACTATTGGCAAGTTTTATTTGGTATCTCATTAATGGGACCAGCTCATCCATGTCTGTTCTCACCCCTGCGCCTCCAACTTGTGAGCTTTCCTGTGAAAAAGCTATGGGAGCATCACTGAAAGTAAGAGAATTCAGGGTTTCTTTTAATTTCCTTTTATTTATATCAGAGCACCAAATTTGGAAAATGGGGCATAGTCACTCGAGATTCAACAGGCTGCTTTTCCTACTGATAAACTCCAGTTTAAAGTCCCAGTTAGCCACAATATAGGATTAGAGAACCTAAAATGACAACCATCAGAATGTTTTCTAGCTGAATTACACAAGGGGGGAAAGCCTCAATCTCCATTTCTGAGCCCAGTCTCACATTTAGCACAGAGTGCAGCAGAGTAGGATCATAAGCACATACTGTGGGGCTCCTCTGGCTGCTAAGTCTTTCAGCAGGGACCATGAGAACTAGGGCAGACTGAGAAAATTAATTTTAAACTTATAGTTTTGATATTTTTCCTTCTAATTGCCCATCTTCTGATCCTCAAAATATACCGAAAACCTATGAATAAATATTCCATTCATTGTCCCATTAAAACTTCATTGTAGTCTATACAAATAATAATTGCAGATAATAGTTTACGTTGATAGATAACACTTTATTCATAGAATGATAGAACGGTTAGGATTGGAAAGGACCTTAAGATCATTTAGTTCCAATCCAAATTTGTGTTGCTGCTTTGTCCAATATGAGGTTTAATAAGACTTCACATGGCACATCCACAACCACAACATCTCTTCATCACCCTGTTGTGGCCATTAGGCTGTGAAAAGAACCACCAAGTTCTCTTCTGTCAGGCTTTCCCTGGGAGTACTAAGCTCAAACAGCAGGGCAGCCTCTACCTATCAGCAAACCATAAACTGTGTTTAACTCTAAATCTGAGCTAAGCCTGTAGCAGCTCACCTGAAAACTTTGAAGCAGGGAAGAACAGCCAGATTGCAGGGATGCACAGCATATTCTGACTTTAGTAATTCAATGACCTTTGCTAAGAAGTGCCAGGATCAGTATGAGAGCATTTTGAGGGCCAGGGCCTGATAAAGCCTAGCTTAAGGACAAGTTTTGATTTGCGGACCACTCAATTTTGCATGGAGAATGAAGCTTCTATACAGCACAGGAAACTCGTCAGGAAGAGAGGAAAGACAATGCAGTTAATAAAGAAAAAAAGAATAAATAAGGATCAAGTATTATGAAAAGCCAATAGAATGGAAGACACTGGAATAACTATACCAAAAGGGAAGAAGAATATACACAGCTTTGTTCTGATTATGGCTGTCT